AAAGCTTATCAAACATCATTTGATCTGAGTAAAACCTTATATTTTGACCTTTGAAAAATCTTTGACTATCCTTTGACTATCCTCACTTACTTCAACTCTTCCTAAATCTATTAAGCTCTAAGATGCCTTCTCCCAAATACTCATCCTTTTCTCTCTGTGTTGTTCTGATAATGGCCCACCTGAAAGCTCTCCACTGTAAGGGTGGAGACTGCTCTCCATTACGCAGCCCAGTCACCACTTTGAACTCACCATGTAGAAGTCTAGCTGTTGCTTTATGAACCACTTCCTGTTTCCTAAACTAGCAGTGTTGCACTAATAGGAGAGTTTGCCTATGATATAAAGTAGGGATGGGAGAACCTGTGTACCTCTCGGTGTTGATGGACTACGGGTCCCATCAACCCTAGAGAGTACAGCTAGTGCTGAAGAAGAATGAGTGTTTTTTGGGAAGAGGCTAAAATATTTTAAATTAAACAATGGGATGTTAAAAAATTATTCATACAGTACCTGAGAGACATATGTCTTCCTTCTCTGCTATGCTTACCTGGAGTCCTGTTCCACAGAGAGGACATTCTAGCTTGTTGCTGCCCCCTAGAGGGTATCACAGAAATAACAGTTATCACAGCAAAAGAAGGCAATGAATGGGGCTGTTGCAGGCAGGCAGCCATGGTGAGTAAGTCCCCACTGTCTATTCAACCTTTAAAGTCAGCTGCTGTGGGGTTAAAAGAAGGCAATGAATGGGGCTGTTGCAGTCCCCACTGTCTATTTAACCTTTAAAGTCAGCTGCTATGGGGTCTTGGTTCCTACTCACACTGAGTGCATCTTACAGAAGAGGGAGAAAAATCCTTGATATCAGGGAATCTCTGTCTGTCTTGATGGAGAATATTTCCACAAGCAGGACTTTTTACAGCTGCAAAAGCCAACGTTGGCTAGATTTGTGTGTTTACAGGAGGGAAGGGAGCAGATCGTAGGGACAGCAGGGGGCAGTGAGGTTTTGGAAGGCAAAATTGTTTGTGCTAGGTGGTGATCATTGCAGCCCCAAAGTCAGCTCCCTGTCCTCCAGCATGTTGGAGCATACTGAGCCATTGCCATGATAAGATTTAACTGCTGCTCTGCCTGGCCTTTGTATTTGAAATTGAGAAGATGCTGTTTTGTCCTTTGTCTCTGGCCACAGAGTGTTTTGGCCTGGCCCCAATGAAAACAGAAACCTCTTTCAGGCAAGTTTCTTCCTGATATATCGATGTATCAATAAATATTTTTGAAATATATATGCATAAATCAAGTAGCTGAATTGCCCCTTGAAACAAGAGAGAAAATAAACCAGTACCATCATGTAGTCTGCTGTAATGATTCAGATACTGTAGAAGGAAATAAACGGTTACTGCTAAAAGTTCTTGAGACGTCCGCCCTTGTATACATTCTACATGGAATCTAGTACAACAGAGGTATGGAAAGTACGGGAAGAACTAGAGTATATTTCCCTCTGTGACCAGGGCCTTAGACTTTCAGTCTTGGAATTTTCCAGCCGGCAAAATCAGTGAAGGAAGGAAGGAAGGAAAATAAAAGTCTTTTCAAGCTCTAATTCCAGCCTACAGTTTATCTAGTCCTCAGTGTTTCTTGGCTTGTTTTTCTGCATACCACAAACTAAATGTATACCGTATTCGCAAAGGCTTTCACGGCCGGGATCTAATGGTTGTTGTGGGTTTTTCAGGCTCGTTGGCCATGTTCTGAAGGTTGCTCTTCCTGACGTTTCACCAGTCTCTGTGGCCGGCCTCTGAAGAAGCCGGCCACAGAGATTGGCGAAACGTTAGGAAGAACAACCTTCAGAACACGGCCAAAGAGCCCAAAAAACCCACAACAACCACTAAATGTATACCATTGACTGTGTAACTGTGGGAAGTCCTGCAACTGCAAATTTTTCTCATCACTTCAACTTCCCACTGAGAAAAGCTTCCACTCCTGAATTTGAGCTTGTTGCACAGTTATTAAAGCTACAGGAGTCCTGCCAAGGAGGAGAAAAACGAACAATTCTGCAGCTTTTTTCCTTCCTTTCCAATGATTTGGTTCAAACACACACAGAGAGAGGGAGAGATGACGACAACCCTTCCTCTTGGAGCTCTTCAGAGATTGGAAGAACTCTCCAGTGCAGAGGCTCAAAGTCCTTCAAGGCTTTAAAATTAGGCATCTCCAAGAGTATGAAGATTAAATCCATTACAGTATTTCTTCCCTGCACAGCTTATATGTATCCCTTAGGCCAGGGTTAGGAAAGTGTGAGCTTTTTCCTCTTGCTTTCTGGTTACTCTATTTGTATCACAGTCTCCTTGCTCCAGTTCTTTTCCTTAATCAAGTTGGGTGTGTAGCAGCGGAAGGACGTTGACTTGCGATACTTACAAGGTCTGAGGTTCTTTTGAGTCACCGCTGAGGGCAAGCCCCAACGTGCTGTGTCCATGGCAAATAATGTTTACCTATCCCTACATTTGGTGCAACAAACCTGGTTCTTTTTCTTGTTGATGTCTGCTATTCCTGATAGTCTTTAAGTTACAAATTGCAGAAATCAACAAGGTGCGTGGAGGAAGAGTCAGATAAAAGAGAATCTGGAAGCATCATACGAGACAGAGGTGAGATAATGGTGTATTATTAGACCACAAAGACTTCTTGCTAGTGCCTTAGTCACAATATTTACTAATTCTATTGTCACTCTGTATGAGGCTTGCAACTTGTGAAAGAGTAGCTATGGGGGTCTGCTGGGGGAAAAAAACCAAGAGGAGAATCTCAAGACATGGCAAAGGTGTTATAGCATAAACTGTTGTGGAGGCTACTGAATGAAATGCATTAAATGTTTGGCCCAGTTGAGGGTTGTTGATTTTGTTTGTTTGTATATACATGCAGAGGGATGTAGGTAAAAATGAATGGTCCCAGCAGTGTCTGGGAGGGGAGGGTTTCAAAGGGACAAACCTGTTAGAAAAATACTGTGTTTCCCCAAAAATAAGACAGGGTCTTATATTAATTTTTGCTCCAAAAACGCATTAGGGCTTATTTTCAGGGGATGTTTTATTTTTTCATGTCATCTTCTGGTTGCTGCACAATGATGGAGGGGGGGTTTCACTTCAATGGGACTTATTTTTGGGTAGGGCTTATATTATGAGCATCCTGAAAAATCATATTAGGACTTATTTTTAGGTTAGGTCTTATTTTTGGGAAAACAGGGTAGCAATCTTGCACTAACACTGAGTTTAAGTAGGAGAGGATTTACAACCTGATATGATTATTATTTTTTTTTATTAGTAAAATTTCCCCTGCCCCTACCGTTGGGGTCAGCCCCTTCTTCTGTTTACCTGGGATTCTTCCCTGGGCTCTATTAGAGAAGCAGCCATGCAGTGACACCTGCATGCTGGAAACTATTTTTTTTTACCCTTTTAACCCTCCGACTGTTAACCACAAATTATAACTGTGAGTAAACTCACCTTTTCTACATAAAGATTCTCCACTAAAGCGTGTGTTTAAGAGAGGGCTGGGAGCCTGGACTGAGTCTTTCCAGCTTCTCAGTGGGGTGGGTGGGGCATTGCCTTGTGCTCTGCTAACAAAAGGAATAAGCAAATTCCTAATATAAAACTTTTAACTAAAGATTTTCAGTAATGCTGGAATAAGCTTATCTTGACAGGAAGGGGGACAGAAGGATCTGCTTAGGGGGAAAATGGGAGCATGTAGAAAAAGAAAAAAGATTAGAAAGATTGGACTTCTTGTCTCTTGTCGGACGTTTTTTAAATTTGTTATTAGACATGGGGGTATTTGTATTTGTATATGAATATCCCTGCATAGGTGGCGTTGACAAGGGTCCAGCCCCATGGGGCTGGATGGTCCACTCACCGATCTGCTGTGGATGTGCATGGTGCAATTCTACCAATGGCTCTGCAGTGCGCAATCTGCTCACCACTCTTCGACCTTGCAGAGAGGCTTTTCCTCCCACCTCCTGCCAGGACTGGCAAGCGGATTGCATGTTGTGGAGCCAGTGGTAGAATTGTGCCATCCACATCCGCCACCTGTGCGGGGATATTTGTATATGAATACCTCATCTCTATTAGTTGTTTGTCAAGTTTAGTGCTATGTCAGGTAAGTGTTACAATCTCACATTTTGTTACATCAATTCAGGGTTGTGTCACTTGCCAAAAACATTTTAAAAAGAGGCAGGGAAGAGGGAAGTGTTAATTACAGAGGAGACCTATGATCCCCATGAGAACTGTAGAGATTTGTGGTGAGGTATGGACTCCTGCCCTAAAATGGCTGGGGATGATTAAACATTCTGTGCAAGCAACAATAATTTAATTGTCAAACTTTGAAAACTCATGACAGCCTCTCTGTCTAATCACACCCCTAAGATCCCCTGATGCAAGGGAAGAAAAACGTTGGTTCTCCAGATGTTGGGACTACAACTACCAGAAGCACCAGTCAACATGGGCAATGATAAATAATTATGGGAATTGTTATCCAAAATAGGGAGGCCAAAGCTTCCCCTCTTTTTTGCTGTTTTGCCCTGAAGGATGTCTTTTCTTGTGGTGGTGATCCCATGCCTTTAACAACTGAAGATTAGAAATTTCCAAGGAGGTAACCATCCACTTCTGTCTCAGTAATCTGATAAAATTAAAGGGCAAAAAGAAAAAAGAATGAAAGGCAAAATATTGTGGCACTTCATAGACAAATAGATTAATTTCAATATGAGCTTTCATGGATCAAAATCAATTTCTTCAGGTTTTCTTGTGCCTGAAGAAGTCACTTTTGAATCATGAAAGCTCTCACTGAAATGTATTATTCACTGAAGTGCTACAGTATTTTGCTTTTCTCTTCCCCCCACCCTCTTTCTTTTCCCTCTTTTATTTTGCCAACATGGAGATAAGAATGTCAGTTGAGGAAGCTTTTCCCAGGCTTAGAAGAATGGTGATTGGGAAGGTTTCACCTCCAGAATGTCCTCTCAGGCTTTCCATCTACTTTCCCTTTTATATCTTCAGGTTGTCTGTGCATCAATGGAAGTCCTATATACATCTCTCCAAGATGAGATCCAGTCCTTTGAGGAACACATCAGACATTGCCAGCAGGCTTTTGATATTCACATTTTGGTCAATGTGCTGCGGCTGTCATTCCCAGAAGATGGTGGTGCAGAGGATATTCAGAGCATAGAGCAGCTTCAAAAGCTTGTTGACTCTAGAGAGTGGGGTAGACAGGTTATTATGACAACTACCCATGAGAAGTATGACATTCCCAGCTACATTTCTTGGTTTGTCTCTTACATTAAGTACCTAAGCTCTTTGAAAGAGACGTTTGATGACAAGGTTGTGTTTCCTTTGTGTGAGAACCTCTATGTTAATGATGATGTACTTGATTCATTGCCCTTTGGACATAGAGGAGGAGGAATTAGCTGTCATGCTACAACATCTGTTGCACATACAGCCAAGCAGTTGTTTGCTATCAGGAGGAAATGGGCTTTGCTCTTGAAAAGGAATGTGATTGATGAACAAGTCTTCAGTCCACAAAGCCTGATTGATCTGCAGGGCTTTGCCAACATCCAACCCTTTGTGAAGGTAATTAGGCTGGTTCCTGACTTGTTCCACAAGAGCTTGGCTGCTGCCGCACTTGCCAGGCAGTGGGTGGAACTGCATGCAAGCCAACACAACTCCCAACTAGCAGACTTAGATCCAAGCTCAGCTGGGAAAAGCAATTGCATGGGATTGACTAGCTCAAAATTGCAAGGATATAGTCTGCCTATTTGTACACCTGAATTATCCAAAAGCCAGCCTGATTCCATGGAGATTTTGTATCAGGCCAAAGACAAAAGCAGCAACGATGAGAGTACCTGTATAAGAACCACCAACCAAGAAAGGAGTAAGCTACGTGAGATCCATGAGGAACTTATGTCCTTGCTATCGCGGGAGCAACGCTCTCGGACTCTGGAAGCAGAAATTCAGGAGGTAAACCTGAGGATTTCTAATCTGCAACTTCAGCAGGAGACTAAGAAGCAGGAGCTGGAAGCCTTAAAGCAGCAGTTGGAGGCCGACAACTGGAGTGTGCCCATCAGACAGTGCCAGACACTCCTTTCTGAGGTGGATGCCTTGGGGAAACAGCTGAAGTTGGAGCAGTATCACAAGAGTATCCTGCTGGGTGATTGGCTACTAGAGCTGGAGATCAGGCCCATCCTTGTGCAACCGATTCATAGAGTAAGGATGGGGCTAAGATAAGAGAACTGGAATCCGATGGCAGACATTTCCTGCCAGTCCAGGAGCAGAGGGAGCAAGTTTCCTTGCCCCACTAAAGGAGGGTCAGTAGCTATGTGGAGCTGGGTCCTGGTTAGAACCAAAGGGCAGTGAACTTGTACAGCATCAGTGATCTTGAGGCAAACAGCTGAGAAACTGGGCCTTCTTTGGGAAAATGAAGATGCCTACAGGAGGAGGGAGGAGCTTTACCCAGATGGTTCATGCCCTTCATCTTTGTGTCTGTTTTCCAGTTGCAGGAGCGACACCAGGAGCTTGTAAAGCTGTTTCAGGGTAGGAAAGAGATTTACCAGGATCTTCAGCCAGCCAATGGAATGGAGTCACACTCCTCAAGTAGTTCTGGGGATCTGAACAGCCTCCATTCTCTTCTTGAAAAGAAAGAGACAATTTAGCTTTTTGTTCAGAGGAAGTTGCCTTACCTGGCCTCTCTCTGTGAGGTGAAAGCAGACTTGTTTCGCATAATATATGGCACACCAATTCTAAATTATGTAACCAGATTACATTAAAGGGCTGTATGTTGGGCTGTCATTGATGATGGCATTTTTAACTTAATTAGCTTTTGGCGACAGGATTTAAGTTAGGATTTTTAATGCTGTGTTTCTCATCTGTATTTGGCTTCTGTTAGACATGTATGCCATTACAGTAATTTATTGTTTATATTCTTGATACTCTGAAATAAGTAGGCAAACACAGGTATTTACCCCTTTTTTCCTGGAAAAGCATAGCCCACTGCCCAGAAAAGCCTTTCTGAAACCCATGTCCTAACAGAGTCCTCCTTCCAATTGCTCAAATTACATGACATCTAGTTTGCTTGTGGCTTCAGAACCATATGACTCTTTTCTATTAAAGCAGTGCTGGTAAGCCAGCTCCCATCATGCTTTCTTTACTGCTGACTGAGCTGGCTGTGTCTGATGGTAACTGGAATTATTAGTTCTGCTCTTGTGCGGGGTTCTATACACTAGGCTCGTGAAGCTATAACTCAAAGCAGAACTGCTTCTTCCTCAGTCACAAGTACACACTTTTCAGGGACTGAGTATCAGTTCCCAAAAACCTTTTTATCAAGCAGAAGGAAGCAAAACAGGAACCAGAAACTGTATGCTGAGGATGACCGAATTTCAAATAATAAACCTTCCTTTGGCGCTGATGAAACCAGACATGACATGTAGTCATGATAGTCAAGAGACCTCACAACCTAGATGAAACAGGGATGAACATTATCAATGGGGTTTAGTTCCCACCCCTCAGACACTGTGTTGTAGACTTTTGGTGTTCTTGGGTCTATATTTCATTAGCTGTCGTTGAAATGACTGTCACTCACTCTGTTCTAATTGGACCTCCCTCTTACTATCAACGAAGGGACGTGGTGGCGCTGCGGGTTAAACCGCAGAAGCCTCTGAGCTGCAAGGTCAGAAGACCAGAAGACATAAGATTGAATCCACGCGACAGAGTGAGCTCCTGTTGCTTGTCCCAGCTTCTCCTAACCTAGTAGTTCAAAAGCAAATAAAAATACAAATAGATAAATAGGTACCACCTCGGTTGGAAGGTAACAGCGTTCTGTGTCTATTCGCGCTGGCCACGTGACCAGAGAAACTGTCTTTGGACAAACACTGGCTCTATGGCTTGGAGACGGGGATGAGCACCACGCCCTAGAGTCGGACACGACTGGACTAAATGTCATGGGGAACCTTTACCTTTACCTAGTTATTATCAAGGGAAGCTGGTAATGCATTTATAGGTAAGCATGTTGCCTAAAGAAACCTCTATTTCAAATTTTACCTGAACTAGAAACTACATGTGCCTTTATGAAAGCCACCATTATGAAGTTGCAGCTTTCTTATCCCATTAACAGTCTGTGAAACAGAGGTAATAACATTTACTTAATTTACAGGATTGTTTTAAGTCTTAATGAGACAACATATGTGAAATGTTATGAATAGTTGAAAAGAGCTATACGTTTTCTTTTTTCGTTCTTCTAATCTCAAACCTATACTGCTGAGCCTGGTTGTAATGGCAGCTTGGAACCTTTTGACATCACCAATACTCCACTGCCACAGAGAAAATCTGGAGAAATACTTTGTTATTGGAGATCTTTCTTTTCAAGAAGTAAAAGGTAAGAGCAGCATCTTTCTTGTCCTTTTCTTCACAGCAATTAGCCTAGTGAACTCTTTCTTGTGGGCATTTATGAAGGCTGTTTTTGTTTAGGGTGGCATTGTACTTTGCAACCTTATGCAACTGGAGAAGAATGGATGCTTTTAAAAAAAGAAAAAAATGCTTCCAGAGGGGATGGACTATAGAAACAGAACAAGAACAAATGCTTCACCCCTCACATGCCACTGCTTTTTTTAATTCTTGTAACCCCACTGCTTTTTTTAATTCTTGTAACCCCTGTGTCTTAGTCACTTTTATTTGTAGTTCCATATGCATGTCTGCTGTCTTTCAGAAGCCGAAGCAGTCAACCTGTTTGGTTACAGCTATCCACCTAAGATGTGTATCAGGTTGACAAATGATTTGATGTTGATTTTTGCCTCATTAGTGTGAGCTTCATATATTTGGTATTTTATCTGATATTCTAGGATTTTGTTTTGTGAGTCTCCAAGGTCCTTTCCCTGATTGTGCATTGTGTTGTGACCTGCACTGATTACTTAGTGAGAGCACAGACTTAGTATGCATCACATCCAAGACTCAGTCCAGGGCGCCTTCACCTAAAGGATAGCAGGTGCCAGGACTGTGACTGACTCCTGACAGAGATCTTGGAGAGACAGTTTTAGTCAGAAGAGTCTTTGCTGGGTTAGCAGGTCAAGGGTCTGACCCTGGTACAATGCAGCATCATTTGTTAATAGTCTAGTCTAAGTAAGATTAATGTTTCTGGGTCCAGAATAATTGGAGGCACAAGTGTCTGCACTTTCCACAGAAAGGCGTTATTGAGGTATACCATATACCTTGGCAATGCCTTTTTTTGGAATGTTGCATTAGGAAGATAATGTCTTTAGTGTACATGTTGCACCCGATCATTTGTTTTGAGTGGCTATTCTTTTGCTGAATTCCCCATCTCTGCAGCTCAGAAGAGGACCAATGGACAACATTTAAGTGAAAGGTTTATTGGTGCAGCCATATCCATTCCTATTACATTCAGAAGAGTTGCAATGCTCAGGCAAAGTACCAGAGGCTCTGCTTCAAACTATTCAGGTTTCCTATCCTGGCTACAGAGGGCACACTGGAGGTCACTGTCTGTAGGTGGGGCAGGCTGGCAGCCAGCTGGGAATGAGCAGAGGAATACCTATGGCCTCTTAACTATCCAGCCAACAGCAGGCAGCCCCTGAGGTAGGTGGGGAGGGACAGCCTCCATTTTATTAACAGAGTGTGGGCCATGGCCCAGAATAGAACCATGACCCAAACTCTAAAGCCTGATGGCTCTATGTGTGGTCATGACAAGAATCATAGCTGGCACTTTTGAACACCCCATTTTTCCACATACATAATCTAATACAACAGATTTACAGAACAGGACTTAATGGTGTATTAAAGTTTCCTTGTGATGACCTAAGGGAAGAGAAGCTGCTTTTTGGACCCTTGCACTGAACTCCAGCGGCATGGTGTTTGTGCACGTGCTCAGTCTCATCGGCTATGCCACGTATATGGGACAGAACACATGCTACTCACCAAAGAGAAGCAAGGGTATTAAAAATAATATTCAGATTTAGAGACTGAAGCAGATGTGTATCTTACACAACATAATTCTTACATGAAATCTGATTTTTTTTTTGTATATGACCTTTGAAGTAAAATACATCAGGGAAGCTGTTTGTGGTGGTGATGACTTAAGTGGGTGCATGAAGAAGAGGCAGAGAGGTTTAATGGTAGGTGAAGTTGAGGAAGTTGGGAGCCACTGAACTCTCAAAGGACTAATGAAGAGAAACTCCATGTAGTAGAAAAAAAGTTAAAGCCGCAGGGCAGAGTACCTCAACCCACCTTCCCAGAAACATCTCATTCCAGTTTTGAGGCTGGGCTATTGTGGCCATTCTGAAGACTTGACCCTGATGAAAAATGTTACTGCAGATGAAATCACTGCATGACAAAGAATATAGTAAGAAATGTAATAATCATACAGACGTGGGGGGGGGAGCAGGGATGTGGGAAGGAGGTTAGAGTAGGAACAAGATAAAACTGTACCTATTGAAGGCGGAGCTGGAGAATCTGATAGAAGGGGCTGAAGTTTCTATTCATTTAACCAGGCAAATACAAAGGCTAAAGGGCAATTGTTTATACCTGGCTTAGATGCTGTGGAGGTTTCTTGCTTCTTACTTACTGCACTGATACTGGGAATTCCTATTTTCTGCTGGGCATGAAAAAGACCCTGAGCCAAGGTCAAATTCAGTCCCAAGTTAGGTTTTTAACTTGAGCTCCTTGTGATCCCCATTTCTTTAACTGCATCCTATGATGCCCTTTGTCAAAAGCTGGAGAAAGACACCAGAAGAGTGGTGTATAAATTGTGTGACAATTTCCTGACCATGGCAGCTACATGAATAATGCAAGTCTTCACTTCATTATTAGTTTAGCTTGCTCCTGGTACTCAGGTTATGTAAGCAAGTGTTGCTATATTCATCTTTTCCCTGTATGAGTAAAGATTTGCATCATACATCACTGTCTATTCTTTATCGCTGCCCTGAGTGATAATGAGAACATGCACCATGCTGTGCACGAGCACATACATGTGCATATTAATATTGCACAAGTTCCCATGTTACACTTGCAGGGCAGACCAGAGTGCAAAAGGCCCTGCACATGCACATACTATTATTTGCTATCTTGAGCATTCATCACTGCTGCTCCACAGATAGAAGGGGTCAGAATCTTCCATGGACTCCCAACTAAACATAATGCAGAACAGCAGATGAATAAAGAGACTGTTGGATGTTCCTGGTCATAGTCATGGGAGTAAGGTTCAAGATGGAGATACCAGTTGTACTCCCAACCCCAGGAATCTGCTAGCTCTGCATGAACAGCATTACACTTGACATTTCTGGTAGGGCCTACTTGTTCTCTTCCTTCTTCTTTGCTGAACTGTTGCTGTTTCTCCCTCAGCAAAGCAGTGAAGTCTCCTTGTCTTCTGAGCAATGGAGACTAACAGGAGCCAGCTAAGGTATCTATTCTGGCACAGCACCAACACTGTCACAATCTGTCTGAGGAGGAATATGGGTGGTGTCCAGACCCATATTATGTGTCCAGAAGAAGATAGCAACTTTTGCTTTGATTGGCCCAAATTTCCTTCTGAGCTGGTGCTTCCCTAAAAGATACGAGACAGCTGCCAGATGGTTCACAGCCATAACCAGTTCAAAGCCACTTCTGATTTTCTTGGTCAGGGACAGCATAAGGAAAGAAGGCCTATCCCACGAGGCCAGGGAAGAATGAAGGCCAGTGAACATATGCTAGGTCTCATACAGGCATGTGAAGTTCGTTATATTCGTCCCGCCCATCTTCATCAAAGTTTGGTGCTGCATCCTCTGAGTCCAGCTGCAAACAGGAAGGACAGAAGAAAGTACAGTAATAAGCAAGGATCTAACCATAGTGTACCACCTTTATTACAGAGTGGAGAGGTCAGAGCCCAATAAGGCTGATGGCAGTTTTTGGTGTCTATGGGAAAATGTATCATGTGGGTACCAAAACAGTCTCAGCTACTCCGGTGCAATAAAGTGGCACAAATATTCCTTCTACTTCACATGTCTTTATCATAATGCAGTACAAAGCCCCCAGACTGAGGTTATATTCATCTACCAGAATTAGATGGGCACATGTTCAGTATTTTGCTGAATGAAAGCTGAGTATCCTAGCACAAGTTCAGTTATCAGGCAATAAGATTTCCTTACCGCTTTGAGTTCTCTCTCTTGAAAGAAACGTGGCAGTAGGAACCGTCTCAGAGGGACTGTCATGATCAGGACAAATGGGAAAGCCAACGATGCTGCTGTGGATTTCACCACCCACAATAGCACAATGCAGGCCAACTGGATGCATGTGAAGAGGTTCATTCGCCATGTCTTCACCTAGGGGAAAGTTAGTCACCTTATGCAAAACTGGCAAATCAGCTTGTAAGCACTTGACAATGTACCTGATCTTCAGTGCAATACATTGTTCTGTCATACAGAAGGGCAATCTCTTGTCAATTTGAGGGGCAAATCAGCCAGTAACTCACTTCTTCCTTCTTCTGCCTATCCAGCCAGCCACTATATGGCCTCCCCACCTCTCCCTCTTCCTCTTTCCATGTTATTCAGCTTGCCAACCACAAGATGTACCCTTTGATCTCCATCAGCTCCCCCAGTACACCTACCTTGACAACATAGACATGATCAGGGTGATGTTTGGATGGCATGAAGATAAGGAGGAGCCGCTCATAGAGCTGGATGCCAGTCAGCGATGTCACACCCATATACAGGAAAATCCCAAACAGCACAGCCAGTGGGATTTGGCGCAATACACTCCCCATGACAATGGACAGGCCTACAAGAGCAGGACATAGAGTTGTATTCTCTTTCTCACAGGCAAATGTACCCCTGTATCATGTTAAGAAATATGAGACAATCCAGATGTGGATACACATCTGCATCTATGTAACTGCATAGGATAGAACCTCATGGTCAGATACATAGATTCAAGGTCTGGGAAAAAAGGTCTACAGGTTAAATACATTTGTGCAAGTGCTCACTAGACTTACAGGGCCACCTATTCATGGGCCCCCACCTCACACCAATGTCTCAAAGTAGAGATGGGCACTACATCTCAGAAAGGTTCCCACTGAGCAAGTAAGTCAACCAGATGGGCTAAAATACACACAATCACATCAGAAAACAAGCTCCTGTGTGTGGGCCTCACCAACAAGGCTAGCAATGAGCACTCCTGTCACACGCTGCTCCTTCACTTCCTCAATCTTTGGCTTCTCGCCAGGTGCAATGGCCTTGCTCATGACAGTGAGAGCATTAACATGGGTGATCGAGCGGACAGTGGCAGCTGTGAGCCATGGCAGTCCAAAAAGAGCACAGAGCCCTCCCATTGTACCAATGAGGAGCAAATCAAGATGGAATCCTGACCCCTTTATCAGCTTCCGTTCCTTTTTGCTGACAATCAGGCTGCAAAAGAGAAGAAAAGTAGAATATATGTAAGTTTCAAGGTACAGCCTAACAGCCTTTGGAGAGCATTAGTATGAGGAAGAACATTTGCTTAGCACCCAAAATGTGATAGGGTACAATGTTCTGTGCCTGTCTTAGGAAGTTTGGTACTTACGTTGTGATCTGGGTTTCCATAAAGATAAGAATGAAGACTAGCAGGGCAGGGATGGCAGAAGCAAACATCATCCACATGGGGAAAGCCTGCTTGCTGCCTAATGGATGGATGAACCAGCCACGCTTCTCTGGGGCTGTGACTGACAGCACTGAGGGGACATTCAGTTTCTGTGGCAAGAACACAAAATGTAGAGGAAGAGACAGTTACCCAAAGTAAAATAAAATCCTTGTTTGAGGCATGTAAAATAGTACACACGAGCAACATTCATATCCTCTGCTCTAAATGAAATCATAGCCTTGTATATACAGTGGTGCCCCGCACAATGGGCGCCCTGTTTAACGAAGAATCTGCATAGCGATGGCTTTTTTGCGATCGCATTGCGATGTTTCAAATGGTAAAACATCGCTTTGCGATGATCGGTAAGCTGTTTCGCTTACCGATTTTCACATAGCGATGTTTTTTCTAACAGCTGATTGGCAGTTCCAAAATGGCCACCGGGTAAAAAAATGGCTGCCCGCAGTGTTTTCCCGCCCTTTCCTCACTTACCGGGCAGTGAAAATGGCGGCCGCATGGAGGATTTTCGCATTACGGGGAGTTTTTTGCCCATAGGAACGCATTAAACGTGTTTTAATGTGTTCCTATGGGCTTTTTTGTTCCGCATAATGACAAATCCGTATAGCGACGATTTTTCCAGAACGGATTATCGTCACTATGCGGGGCATCACTGTATCTTTGTAGAATGCCAACACAGATCTAGAATTCAATCCAAAGAGCAGTTGCCTAGTTTCACAATGGGAATATATTTTTCTTAAAGACATAGCATATCAGCACTGTCTTATAAGGTTTTAAAAAGTAAATAACAACCTTTGCTTCTCCTCTCTCCTCTATGGAGGAGCAGAGGAAGCTTTAAGCTTCTAATATAGTTAAGTGGCTTAAGCTATCCGCTTAAGGCACTTAATGCTTTTGGGAAATTGAAAGTTTAAGCCTTCTGCTTTGGTTCGATCCCAGTGATCACATGTGATGGAACCAAACCCACTCCTAAAAAATAATAGGCCCTGAGAGAAAGCCAATAATGTGTCAGTTGGAATACATTAGGAATGGACTAGTTTGCAATGGCACTATGTCATGTGGTTGCTGGGAAAAGGAGTGAACCAGCCTGTCCCCACAGCAGACCAAACAGCAGGGTAAATCCCCATCTAGTTGCACCCTGAACTGTACTTTGCTGCCCATATGTCAGCTACACTTGGGCTTACAGTTGTATAGAAGGCAGGTTACTCACCTGTAATTGTAGTTCTTCAAGAGGCCACAAAGAAAAACTGAGCTGTGCTTTGGATGCATAATGAGAAAATGTCTGCCTTGGAAAGAATTACATCAGGACAACTCCATACTCTTAACACTACCCACTATTGGAATGCAGCTAACAAAACCCTTTTCTAATCAGAATTTGGTCCTGTCTCTGTTCTAACCCTATTTGACTATTCATAAGCAACTTTTTGTATGGTATGTTAGCCCAAGTGTGCACACACCCTTATGGCTAATCCAGATTTGTTACTCATTCATGCAAAATGTTGGTGTTCATAGCATGTGTTCATAGAGTCAGTGGATGGTTCAATCAGACCCACATAACTGGTTCCAGACTGAAGTGGTGCTTCTGCTGCTAGGTGAGATAGCTAGCCAGTCAGCAGTTGCACATGCATGTGGTGTGACTAAGCCACCTTCTGCCTTCACTAACACATCCTGATACTGATCAGTAATAACATGGGAAGCCCCCTCATTGTAATTGCTTCTCTAGAGCACTGGGGTCATTTCATAAAACACACTGCTACACAGGCTACCAGTATCCTTATGGATATGTTTATCAAATCAATTCAGAAAAAGCTTGAGTAAGTCAACTAATTGTGGTGATGTGATGCATCTCTCAAATATATGATTTGGTTGTGATTAGTTATAGGCTTTTTGTGGGACAGTTATCCCTTATATCAGTTTTGTATTGGGGCATTCTCTGAATTTTACAGAGGTACATGCTCTGGTTAATTGTCTACTCATTTCTTAGAAAGTAACCAATGCTCAATACTCTGTGCTCTTATGGAGGGTAAGTAACCAATAATACAACCATAGAAAGACCAATGCTCTGCTGACAAAAGTTGATTGAGGCAGGAGTCAGCCTAGCAGGTTTGCAATATTATCAAGATTGCAAGACTGCAAAACAGAGCAGTATAAGAAGCCCTGTTACCCCCAGGTTTTCCTATCCTTTTCTATCAAAAAAGTGAGCTACCTCCCATTTGCTTTTCTATTTCATGCACTTGTGCTCCACTTCTAGGATTCCATAGAGGTCTTTGTGATATGGCATTGGTGACTCTTAAAAGATCACCACTTAATCATGAGCTACCTTGTTCAAAATCTTGATTTCTTAGCCGCTGTTTTGCAGTTTTCAAAAGCTCAAAAAGCTCAAAAAGCCACATTCTGAGCAGTGGCAATGCACTTTGCAACACTGCAAAACTATGATACATTTTCACCACTTAATCATGAGCTACCTTGTTCAAAATCTTGATTTCTTAGCCGCTGTTTTGCAGTTTTCAAAAGCTCAAAAAGCCACATTCTGAGCAGTGGCAATGCGCTTTGCAACACTGCAGAACTATGATACATTTTACTTTTAATTTTTATCTGCTAGTTATTTGTAGCAGTTCTCATCCTTTGGTAACTCACTGTTCACAGTACATTCAAAAAACAGACACTGAACTTGGAGTGTCTTGAAGCCTCCCTCAACTCATTTTGCTGCTCCATTTAGCTCACCTTGGCACCCTGGATGATCACTCAGCTTGCCCACTGCTAAGACGGAAATACCAACTCTAGAGAGGAATTCTAGCCCTTAGCCTCTACTGATACTAAAGAAATGCCTGCCTCTAACAGAATTGCCACAACTGTCTTGAATCAAAGGCTGACATTGTACTTGATGATTAAATAAAATGACCACACACATTCCACAAACAATCCAACTATGGGAAGCAGAAACTAGTTCAATAACACACCCCATAGCTGAATGTGATTTGCTTTCTGCTAACAGGACTGTCTCTTCTTTCTTTGTGCATTTGAATTTCACATTGTTTGAGAAGGCTTGCACCCAGCTCTGCCACAGCAATCTCCCTTAAGACACTGCAAGACTGAGACATGCAACACTTACCTGTGTATATGTATCAGTGATTGTGTAATCTACCAGAACCATGACCAAAATGGAGATAGGGATTCCAAAATCTCCAATGATTCGTCGAGCCTGCAGAGCAAATGCGAGATATGAAGCATGAGCACAGGAAAGGCTGGAGATGCTATTGCAGGACTGAGCCCAACGGAGACCCTACCTAGATCTTTAGTCCATTCCACTCTACTGAAGACTTGATTACCATGGCATGACTCTGCCTGAAAATATTTGAGAGAGTAGTGATTCTATTCTAGCTTGAGGAAGTTACACTATTGGACAGGGGACAAGAGTGCTGACATTTTTTTTGTACCTCTGCACTGCAGTGCCAATCCTTAAGGATCCCTAGCCATTCTTGACATAGGAATGCCCAGACAGATTCAAAATTATCTTTGGAGAATTTAGGGATATGCCTTAGAAGGCTTAGAGTGTACTGGTTGTTGAACAGTAGCATTTCCTAAAGACAAATTGAATGTCAGTATCCCAGTGAGGGAGAGAGATTTTTGTCTCCATAGCTACCATTTAAAAATCTATACAGAGAATGGCATCAGAAGGTTATTGTTACTCTACAAGATGAAACCCTTGTGTCATTTGCTGTATAAAGTGGAAAAGACAAGACAACCCATCTGAAATAATTGCATGAAAAAGCCACAACATTTCCTACTGTTTGAAACGTGACCATAGCCTTACCTTCCCTCCCAGAAATCGGCTATTCTTAAACTTGCGCATGAAAAAGGCAATGAAAAAGGTCCCCAGCATGAGGATGAGGGACAGCAGGGCAGTGTTGGGCTGCATTTGGGTGTCCAGGGTTGTGGAATCAGTAGAAAATGAAGTGGCATTTAGACGGCTTTGAAGATATGGTGGGTAGAACTTCAGAAGTGGGTGCTCTGTAAATATCTAGGAATATCATATAAGATAAGGGTGAATTCTGAGCCATTTGAACAGGCAGAAAAACTTTTAATCCATTCTGTTCAGGCACAGCACTACAAGAAGTAATCAATAACTGGCAAAAAGCTGAAGACCATAGTTTATTTCATACAGTTGGCTTGGTATAGAACTGATACCACAGCAGCCAGACAAACGGATCGAAGGAAAGGCTTACCTTGTAAAGCTTGTAGAATGTTTCATAAATGAAGATGAGGGAGATGAGGAAGGCAAAGATTTCTTGGGTGAAGGGGGTGATGTAGCGCACTAGGAAGCTGCCCTCAGCAGCCACAATGATGACAATAAAGACGATGAGCCAGAAGCCAATCCACACCCGGCCTGTTAGATACTCAATGCCCTGGCTCTGGCAGAACTAACAAAGAAAAAAATTGGGGTGACAGAGAGAAGAGAGGCAGCCAAGGAACATTTTCTCACTTCCATATTTCAGACTTTTTAGCCCATTTTCCAGTGCTCATACACAACACGTGACTGTGGCCTGCTAGATTTTGATACCCCTCCCCCATGTTTGTAGTTCAAGAAAAGATAACAATAATCAGAGGCTTATATAAAAAAGAGGTCACATGGTGTTTAATTTGGTAACTCTAAGTTCTTCTCTGTTTTCCTATGAAAGAAGTATCAAACAGCAGAGCAAAAAGCAAAGCAAAGCAAAAGATTTCATTAAGTTCCACCTCTTGCTGTGCTGCTTGCTTGCCCACATTCATTATGTTGCTCCGCTGTAATTCTACTGGGCTCTTTGAGACACATTTGCTCACAGTCAACCCCTCACACATCTTGCTATGTTGCATTTCATGTGCACCATTTCAACAATTTGCAAATAGTCTTCCTCGCATAGTCACTAAACTTACATAAGGTCACTAAGCATACCATGGGCAAATTCCTGTGCAGACAAAGAATAGAGAGGGCCCAGAAAAGCAGAAATGGAAGCAATGTTAGCCAATAACAACTTCTTTGGTTCACCACTATATAGCAGTTTCTTTGGCCAACAGTGGAGGCGTTCAAGAAAAATTTAGATAATCACCTGGCAGATATGCTTTGATTGTATTCCAGCATTGAGCAGGGGGTTGGACTTGATGGCCTTGTAGGCCCCTTCCAACTTCACTTTTCTATGATTCTATGAAAACATTTTATTATCCTACTACGTTATACAGAGAACAATGCTCCTATCCTATGGAGCAGCACTCTCCAGTCTAGGCAAAAAGTTTCTTCAGGAAAGGGTAGTACACATCGATCATGCAGGTTTCAAAATGTTATGGAGTACATTTGTGGTGATTATTTGACCAGCAAGACAAGTCTTTCATGGTATGGCATCACTTACAGTTTTGAAATGGCCTAGTACATAGATTACTTGAGGTAGTTTCTGAAATCAGTAAATGAGCAGAAAACGGTAGAAACTATCTTATATGGATCAAAAACCTTTCGTTTTCACATGCTCCAGTAAATCAGTTGAAGCCTTTTTAGCACATGTGAGTATTACTTCAGAGATTGCCCAAAATGTACTAGAGTAGGCCCACTGACTCAACAGGGACCTGGTGAATCAACTTCTTCATAAGTTCCATTGATTGAAAAGGACCGACACTAGCTGCGACTTACTTTAGCACAGTAAGCTGCACATAGAGTAGGTCCATTTATATTAATGGAATTTATGGAGGAGTTGATTCACCAAATCCCCACTGAGTCCACGAGACTACTCTAGCTTTAGCACAGTAAGCTGCACATAGAGTAGGTCCATTTATATTAATGGAATTTATGGAGGAGTTGATTCATCAAATCCCCACTGAGTCCACGAGACTACCTAGTGGGACTTACTACACTAGGCAACAGGATTTTGGCCATTTTTAAAATACGGTTCTGCTACCATGTTGTATGAAATGTTTGAGGCCATCACACCACCCAAGTACTGTATAAATTAGACCAAAGGGACAGAATGATGAAATCATAAACTGCACTGGTATATGGATACATCAGAATCAGTGTAAAACCGTATTACTTCAGAGATTGCCCAAAATGTACTAGAGTAGGCCCACTGACTCAACAGGGACCTGGTGAATCAACTTCTTAATAAGTTCCATTGATTGAAAAGGACCGACACTAGCTGCGACTTACTTTAGCACAGTAAGCTGCACGTAGAGTAGGTCCATTTATATTAATGGAATTTATGGAGGAGTTGATTCACCAAATCCCCACTGAGTCCACGAGACTACTCTAGTGGAACTTACTACACTAGGCAACAGGATTTTGGCCATTTTTAAAATACGGTTCTGCTATCATGTTGTATGAAATGTTTGAGGTCATCACACCACCCAAGTACTGTATAAATTAGACCAAAGGGACAGAATGATGAAATCATAAACTGCACTGGTACAGTGGTGCCTTGCATAGCGAGGTTAATCCGTTCCGGATTAACCCTCGCTATGTGAAAACATCACTAAACGGAACGTAAAAACCCAATGGAATGCATTAAGCATCGTTTAATGCATTCCAATGGGCCCTAAACTTACCGTTCAGCGAAGTTTCCTCCATAGCGGCAGCCATTTTCGCACCCTCGGCTTCCGGCAGCCATTTTGGAACTGCCTAACAGCTGATCCATGGGCATCGCAAAGCGAAGATCGGTAAGCGAAACGCTTACCGATCGTCGCCATGGGAGTTTTGCCCATGGCGACTGTTGGTATGCCTCCGCATTAGCAATCCCGAAAAAGGGATCGCTATGCGGATTCGTCGTTATATGGTGCGCTTGTTAAGTGAGGCACCACTGTATATGGATACATCAGAATCAGTGTAAAACCATATATGACACAGGAGACATATATACAAATAAATGGTGATGTAAAAGCAAGTAGGACACCTGTCTACAGGTACCTTATAGAAAGCTTCTTCAAAGACCAGCAGGGGCCCTGAAAAGCCAATGACAAGAAGAGGCTGAGCACTCAGCAGAGAAAAGAGCACACCCAGCACTGATGTGGAGATGATCAACTCTGAAACACCCATGAGGCCTTCTGTCTTCTCACCTGTAGAGAGAAAGTATCAAAGACATGTGCGCACCTCCTCTTGATGCAGGAGGATGCAAATCTCACCACAGGGAAAACTAATAGATTTTTCTTCCAAGTCTCATCACAGGGCTAAATAATATACTTTTGTTGCTGTTGCTATTGTGAGTGAGTCCCACCAGGTATATATTCAATTTTGTTTTGAATGAGGGTGCATCTCCTACTCCACAGCAGTGTTCCTTATTCTAGTCCTGTTGCTTGAGACCCAGAAAGCTTCAGCAAATTTCAATTATTCAATAACAAAGTTGCCATAATTTTAACTAGTACTAACTAGTGAAATCATATCCTTCCAAATTTGGAAGACTGAGATTGGTTGTCCATTTGCTTCTTAACCAATTCATGTCATTGGCACATAATGTCTGAAGACCTCAATATCTGGGATTGAGAGTACATTATGCTTGAATGCTAAAGAGTGTCTCTCACCAGACTCTAGCTAGACCATCTGGACCATCTGAACAGACTTCGAAGCAAAGTAGGAAGATCAAAGAATAATCAAGTAAAATGGGGCTACTTGGATACAGGACAATTTTTTATGTCTTTGGAGAAATTCATTCAATGCAGCACTTACATGCATACAATTTATGCCCTGCCATTTGTACAAAAGAACATCTAGCAAGTGGCTAAGATAATGCTATTGAAGTAGCCTAATTCTGGTTAAAAATAGTCCAAATATCTGAACATTTTAATTTGTTTTAATTTTCAGTATTTTTCATCTATGTCTGTAATTCTAAATTGTGTAACACTCTGATACAAATAGAGGAAGTGTGCCTATTCCTATACAAGCCTGCCCATATTTTAAAATTTTTAGTGAAGGCAATTTTCTATATATCTTCCTTTTATAGAAATGTATTATATATTTATTAATTAAAGCGTCCTTTTTTCATGGTGGCCAGACCCAGAAAAACACAATCTTTATAGTTCCTGGTTAAAAATGTTTATTTGTCCTGGCATTTTAAAAAGTTACACTTTATTTGTAATCGTTGTACTCTTTTGTGGACATTTGATAAATATTTATTATAACATACTATTCTACTTGTACTTTTATTTTATATAAATTTATTTACATTTATAGTATATTATGGTGTATAGGAATCTACTGAATGAAGGACACCTTAAAAATATTCAAATAAAGAACTGAACAAGGATTTCTTGATGGATCCTCAGTGTGAACTGGCATCTTTTAACGGCAGTAAATTTCTAAAAGGTCTCCAGCTGTAGACTATAATACTTCACAATCAGACATCTCTGTTAGACAGCCCAGCAAGGGCTTGAGACACTTTCTAGCTGAGTTCTGTAATCTGTTGAAGTATCTTCTTGGTAGTGTCCACATTGTTTGTTTGTTTGTTTTTTAAATCAATACACCTTCATAAAAGGGAACAGTGTCTTCCAAGGCAGTGGAAGTATCCTAGTAAAAACAGTAATACAGTATAGCAAACAGTACCTTCTTTCCCTGCTTCTAGTTCCTTGCCATTGTGTTTCAATTTGCCCCTAACATGAGCAGAAAGATTAGAATTTATGCCTGTGGTCAAGGTTCCATTACTTTTTATTCTGTTTTTTATTATATGGCACCTTGCATTAAAACTCTATTTTATCACTTCTACATTTTGTATTTTTTTCTGTACTAGAACTCAAGATAACCTGCAAAGGGTTCCAAAAATGCTTCAATTCAAGACCTGGTCAAAATTAGATGTGCTTAGTTTTGCCATGGTTGTTTCACATACCTACCCAGCACATCTCAGTGCTCAAGAACTAATAAATATACTAGCACCCATGAACCATCAAAGAATGCACAGAATGATTATTAATAGCAGTAATATCCTGTTGTCATTTCTATATAGAATGAGCAAAGGACATGCAGAGACTGAGAAGCCTCAGAGCCAGGCAAGAATGAAATGGGACAAAGCCAAACTCGTTTGGGCATTGCAAGAGCCAAACCAAGCCCGCCCTCTTAGCCAGCATGTGCACAGGCACAGATGAATCAACCCCAGCCATCTCACTAGTACAAGCACAGGCAAAAATTCCTGTAATCCTGCTCAACTTAATGGGCTGCACAGGCAAATAGGAACCAGCTTGGGCACAGAAGGGTGGGGCAGGGGAGGAGGAGAAGGAGAAAGAGGGTGGACTTGTTACCTAGCAGTCCCCCAAAGGTGATGGCAGGAGAGAGAGCAGCGAAGTAGATGAATAGCACGGCTGCGAGGCACTGGCTGTGCAGGGCATCTCTGAGGTCACTCAGATACTTGGGGTACCTGCGCTTTATGTCTCGCACCAAACCACCAAAGAAAATGCCAGTACGCCTCAGAGGGTCATCCTCTTCTTCACCCTCCTCTTCCTCCTCGATTTTCACCTCACACAGCTCTGGAAAGAAGGAAACAGGATGGCATATCCATCCATCCATCCATCCAACCAACCATCCAACCATCCACTCTCTCACTTTTCTCTAGGAGACTCTAGGCAATATAGAAAAATATTTATATCCCACAAATAATTAAAAACATAACAATTAAAAGTTGAAACTATGACATACAAATATTTAAAAACGTTATTTTACTTACTTAAAAACATTATTTAATTACTGTCAATCAGATTTTAAAAGATCATTCCAACTCAATTGCCTGCTGACTCCCCAAAAGCCTGCCAAAAGAAGTAGGTTTTCAGTTACTGTACTGGCAAAAAGGAAGTAGGGAAGGAGCCAGTTGAATTTCCCAAGGAAAAGTGTTCCATAATCTAGGAGCAGCTATACGAAAAGCCCTCTCCCAAGTCCTCACTAAATGTGTTTGTGAAAGTGGGGAGACTGAGAGAAGGCACTCTCTTTAATGCTTGTGGGACTTATATAAAGATATAAGGTCTTGAGGTACAACAAGAAGAAAGCAGAACAAGAAACCTTTGATTGGCATTAGCTTCCAACAGGTACAGTAATCAGACAAATACTTGGCTCTCACTTCCTCTTACTTGCCTCCAATAACTTTCAGGAAGTCTCCATGTAGTAGGGCAGCTGATAAAGAGATGTCTGTGGACTGTTTCCACTGTTACCCACTCTACCTAAGGCTTAAAACAGAACAACTGAGTGCAAAAGATAGGAGAGAAGGACCTTTGGCTTCCTGGACATTCCCTTCTTTGGCAACCTTCTTCTGCTCCCTCTCTTTCCTTTTCCTCAGTAGCACCCTCTGGAAGGTGGCAATCGACTTGAGCAAATCCTTCCCCTCTACTTCTGACGGGGGGATGACGATGCTACAGTCAAGGAACTCATTGATGGCATTGAGCAAGTCCTGGCGGTCGTCTGCCATGTAAGCAGCTTCATGGAAACGCTGTCAGCCAATAAGGGAATATGGTCAGGCAGGTAGAGAGCATCGATGCACTATTTCTGTACCTAGGGCATCAGCAACATTATATTGCTCTTTTCTTTGCATTTTGGGAGTTTGTTTTGGGAGTTTGTTCGAGAGGTATTTTCTAAAATTATTGTTAATGTGAGCAGATGTTCATTGAAAATGCCTTTTTTGAGCTTTCACTCAGAATCTTCAATATTAAGCCTGAGTGAAACTTGATTCCATATGCACGAATGTAAATGTACACACACCAAGGCATCATCTACTGTACAGCCTGCCTTCTCACACAGTGCAGCTGGTGAAGTTCATACTGAACTGTCAGGTATGAACATACTACAGGACGTTATACGTATTTTTTTCAAATACAACTTTAATTAAAATAGCACTCTCTTTTAAACTATGTGATTAAATCAGGAATCAGGTTGAAGAAATTTTCCCTTGGTTACCCAAAGACCAAAGTAAACGATTTCTTTTTATCCTTCAACTACCCATCTAGATACTCAATGTTATTTAACACATTTGACTTGCACCTGTTCTGCAGTAAGTAGAATGGAATCAACTGTGAGATTAAACATTCTGTTTCTTCACACAAAGACACATATGCAACCCTTTGCTTTTCTGTTCTGGTTCTGAAGAAAGACACCTTGCTCTCTTTCTGAAGAAAAAAACCCATTTGTTCTCTATAGTTTTAATGTACATCAAAGGCATGGAGAAACGGAGCTTATTCCTCTGTCCCTGTAGGTATGCATATATTTATATGTTTGATTATTTAACTGATTGATTATTTGACTCATTGTCCCACATTTCTCCACAAAGTGAATGCAAAGCCCCTGATTCTTTGTGATTTTCTCATCTAAAGCCCAACTCGGTAGCACCTTTGTTACTACCACTACCTTCTATTCTCTAGCTCCAACTTGAACCAAGAGCAAACATCTCACCTTGTCTGACATGAGGGTGGAAATGGAGCGTCCAATCTCATGATAATCCATGTTGGACTGGCTCGGTCCCAGTAAGACAAAGATGAAACGGACAGGAACTGGAACCTCCAGAACTGACTCCAAGAACACAGCCTCATTTAAACGAACAAAAGCCATTGTTGGTTGTTCAAGAAACTGAACACAACCTGCCAGAAGGAAAAGTATTAAATCATTTAAGTAGAATAAAAGCAAAAGCCTTTGCTCTCTGGAAGCAAGTCTCAGAATTAGGGAGTCCAGGTATATTATATGTGGGCATATTCAGGTGCAACTGGCTTCTAGCAGTGTCATCATTATACTATCTCCTGATAATCTAAACAGTGGCTGTAAGAGGCACTTGGAAAGTTATTTTCCTAATTTTGCAGGAGCAGAGAGGAAGACTGTAACAAAAAAGAGGAATCTAAATTAAATGAGACAACCTTTTTTTGATACTGAACCCACTTCAAAGACGAATCAAATTCAGAAGCTTCCCTCCAGATTGAGTCTCAGGGAAGATGATGCTATCAGTGAATGGCTGGTGTCATAGAACTGTATATTTGGAAGGAGTCACCTGTCAGGGAGGCTTGGACTAAATGATCTTCAGAAACCTTTCTAATTCTATGAGTCTGTGAATTTCTATCTACATCTCTGCAGGTGTTAGCTGAAAGAATCTCAAAATATTACCTCATCCCATCAAAAGAATAATTTTGAATAATAATGTGTTGTATTACAAAGACAAATCTCTTAACATTTCTTAAAAATCAGTTGCTGGGAGAAATTACAAATAGGGTATTTTCTATATAAACACAGTGCCAGTGAATCTCTAATTTTTATGGATATGGACAATTTTTTAATCACAGAATCGTTACCTTTCAATTCATGAGCTGTTCTTTCCAGAGGCCTGGAAAATTATATGAAGCATATGTATTGCAGGAAGTGGGTTATCAGACTAAAAAGTTTAACCAGGTAAGGAAACAGGCCTATGGAACAAACTGTACTTGATCCCTGGAGAGACAAGAGCAGCATATAGGGCTTTGGGGAATGTTGTAAGTATTCCAATTCTATAAGGCCTGGTCAAGACTCTCTAGTAGATGTTGGTTTTGGATTCCTTACCAACAAGTACCACAGTGGCCTCAGCATCATCAGGAATCTTCTCCATCAGCTTCAGATATCTGCCACGATGTCCCTCATTGCTATGAAGGTGCATGCTTTTCTGTCTCAATTAAAAAGATTCTGATTAGTCAGAGCTGTCTCACACCACTGGATAGCTCTGTATCTACAAGATGAATGGGCTGTGAAAGCAGAAAGAATACATTCTGGTGACTGAGGTCCCACAGGGCACAGCCTTTAATCCTCTGCTGTACTCTGCATCTTTATGCATTAATTTAAGGCAAGTTTAGAGACTGATGGTTCTAGCATATGTTACAAAACTGCCCTACACATCTATCTATTTATTCATTCATTCTCAGGCCTCTAAATCTTTAAGCAAACCACTCCCATGTCTCTTTTCCTACCACCTCCTGACCAATGGCACTTCTCTGACTTTTCTTTGTTTCTTCCTATGACTAGTCAAGCAGAGTACATTATGTAAGAGACTGATTTATGTGCACCTTTTCTTGATTTGTATGGTTTGCAGAATTCAGCATTTTAAACAAAAACTTTAGCACAAAGTACTCAGTAATAAAGGTACCCATAGTTTTCTCTAACTCATTATCAGCTTTAAATATATTTGCTTTTTAAAACAATTAAGCCACACTACTTGTTTCTCACTCACCTCTCTGAAGTCAGGGTCATGGATTCTGGGCTCTGTCATCTCAATGTGGTCTTCCCCCATCAATGGCATGCACGTGTCAGTGGTGTGGTTGTGGTGGTGGTTTCCTACCATAGAGTTCATACTGGAGTTGGAATGGTTCCGGGGGAAGAATGCCTCCTTCTCATCATTGGGATGACTGAGGAAGCAACATCACTGTTAAAAGAACTACACCACCTTGACCTGGTTTCTCTGACTAAAGGTCATTGCCACTCTCTGGAAATTCACATTGAACCAGATGTCCAAAGCCAACTAAAGTGAAAAGATAGTGCCTTTCTACAGAAACATTTACTGTGTCCACAACAGCAAATATCTACTTTTTTGGCCCCTATATACTGCAAAGCCCTGGCCTCCCTTCATGCATGTTTCATGGACTATAAGATGCCCTGCAGCTTCACATATAGATCAGGTTTTACCTGTCCAAGATATATAATCTCTCTGTGCATCATAACTTTTCTGCTACCACCTCAGGGTCCACTGAAACACTGAAAAAGTCCCTTATTCTTTGTATTCTCGAAAGCAATTCCTTGTCAGCCTTGCCATTTGTGTAACATTTAGGCTCCAACCTTTGTACTGTGCTAGTGTTCACATTCTATAGTTATTTATTCTTCAATAGTTCTTCCATTTATGCCCTTCCTTGTCTCTCAAATCCCAAACCAGTGGCTGAAACCCTGTTGAGTAACTGCAAGGATGGAACTACTGATAACAGCATCAGCCCACAACGTTACTATTTAATTTAGTTTAGATTCCCAGCGTGGTGTAGTGGACAAAGTGATGGACTAGGACTCTAAAGAACAGGGTTCGAATCCCTGCTCAGCCATGGAAACTCACTGGGGCAGTGGAACTGGTAAAACCCTCCTTAAATATCTCACCTACCTTGAAAACCCTATTAGGATTGCTATAAGTCAGTTCTGACTTGATAGCACAGAAAACACACACACACACACACACACACTTTAGTTTTAGCTGAAAGCTTTCAAGCCCTACCCCCTCTCAGGTTCTGAGTCTCTCTGAGTCAAGGGAGCTTTTGGGAACCTCAGAACAGAAGGAGGAAGCCTTTAATATTGGAATGTTGCTGCCAGATCACCATCAGTTGGCTTAATACGGCCACCGGTGTGATCTAGCAGACATTTCCCAATGTTAAAGGTTTACCCTCCTCAGCCTGAGGCTCCCAAGTGTTTGCCCAGCTCAAAAGGGTTCCCTGGGAAACCTTAAAACCTGGGGTGAAGACACAAGAAGGTCTGAATTAAATTAAAGAGTAACATAATGGGCTGATGACACCATCAACAGTTATGCTGGTGGAACTGCAGTCAACTGGAATTCAACCAGTATATTTCTCGTTTGAGTCACTCACCTATGCTTGAGCAGCAAGGCCCTCAGCACATTGGCTCTGTCTTCAGCCTTGATCTGGTCTGAGATTATCATGGTCTCAACTACCAGGTGAGCAATACCGGGTAATGTTGTTTGCTCCAGATCCAGCAGAACAGCACCTTAGAACAGGAAGACCAACAGATTTAGATCACTGAGATCTAAATTTCTCAGAGATTTCTCAGTTAAAAGATCCTTCAGGGAGACAGATGTTCTGTTACCCCTTTCTTTGTGCAAAGGACACCTTCGTGCACACTACCTTCCCTTTGGCAACCTTAAAAGTTCCTCTAGGTAGGAAGAAGTAATGCTTATTCACACATATAAATACGCAAACCCTTTTAATGGGTTTTATAGCTTTCACAGATTGCTATTGAGAGCTCTTTAAAATCTGGATTGGAATTCTGAATCTTGTCTTGACCCTAACTTTTTTTGAGAGAGGAAAAAACATAGAAGCAAGCCTTAATTTACACTGAAAACTTGGTGACTTCTTCCTTTGCCCAAACTTTTTGCATGCTGCTCAGCCAGCCTGAGAACCAGGACTCTTTGTATATTGGTGTAAGGCAACTTGCCAATTAGATGGCAACTCTTCATGATGGCCATAACTTTATGTCATTCTTTCTTTCTCCCAGGAAAGCATGAACCATGAGAGAGCTTGTTGCTTTATGCCTTCGTATGTGAGTCAGATTATATCTGATCAGTAGCTTGTCAATGTATAAACCCCAGAACACATTCCCTCTTAGTTACTCACCATGGGCAATAGTCTTCCTGAGCTCCAGAAGACTGCGAAAGGAAAGTGAGGCCACATGAGGCTTCCCCCAGCGTGCTGTATCCTCCTCTACATTCTCTTCAAATTTGATCCAGCGTGCTGTCTCCTTCCAGTGCATATCTTGGTTTTTATCCACAACTAATTCATTCAGCTCCACAAATACCTGGCACATGAAGGAAAGAAGCAAGCCAAACAACTGAACTACAAGCATTTCACTTTGTTTTTTGCTGTTTTCTCTATGTAGGGTCATTCACAGGAATGCCATTCCTAAATTTTGTTACTGTCAAAGGGTGGTATAGTGATGCAATCATGCTCTTTAGCTCTGCCCTGTTGGCACAGGCAGTCCTGTAGATGACAAGATGTTTACAAAAGTTGTTGTGAGATAATCTAAAGGAAATGTATGCCTGTCCTTTTCCTGTGGGTCTGATAGAGACTGGTGTCTAATGTATGATGTCCCATTCCAGCCCAGCTATTTCCTCTCTAAAATCAGGATCTGGACCAAAAGAAACCCAGGGATAATATCACAGATTGGTCAGAGATCACTTTCTTATACCATCAGTGCCATGAACTTTGTATGCCCATGGTGGAGGAGGGTGGGCATACAGTCTTACACTGACGATTGCCACTGTCTCTATGAGAAACAACTCACCAATGTGCAACGTGACCAGCACACACGTGAAGCTGCTAATCTTGCCTGCACATTGTGGGATCTCAGCAGGGCAGGACCATTATTTATGGTACCTCGTGAGGTTTCCTGTCAAGCTTCTTCTTCTTCTTCTTTTTCTTCACAGATTGTGAAGACAAAGACTTTTTGCTGCTTCTGGTAGTCTGGTTCCGAGAGGGTTTCTTTACTAGATGTCTCCTTACTCCTGGATTATCTTCAAAACGATGGCCTAGAATAGAAGCAGTAGAGCAATAAGAGCAAGTGAACTGATAAATTAAAATGCATTGTCAAGACATCTGTCTTGTCCCTCTATTGGTGGGTCTGTATGCCTGACATAGTTGTACCATGGAAAGACAGGTTTCTTGTAACTATGCAATAGTTAACAGTGCAACTATTGAGGAGTTGCAACTTTGAGGAGTGCAACTTTGGTTTAGAAGAGCCCATGTTCCTAACTGCAAAGATAGGCTTGAGAACATGTATGTGGGCATTGCAATGCATGGTAAAAACTCAGGAAATGGAAAAGGTATCAAGATAACTAAGTTAAGCTGGAGCTGGAACTCACAGTACTCCTTACTCCTCTCCATGTCTACCAAAAGTGAAATAAATTATGAGAAATAAACAAATGTAGAGAAATTTGCTCAACTTCTACAAGGGACAGAATCCAACTTTTTTGACATAGTCCATGAAATGGCATAGCATTTTCAAGATTAGAGAAGTGAATTTTCTTCTCAACAGCAATGTAATAAAACAAGGTAAGAAATTGTGACCCTCCAAATGTTATTGCCTTACAACACTCATTATAAACTGCTTAAACTAGCTGAGGGATGACAGATGTTGAAGGGCATAGAACAGAGAAGCTAACTTCTGTTCAAAAAGCCCTAAAATGACCTTAAATTTGAGCAACCATCTTCTTGGGTCCTTTTTGCTCCTCCAGCATAACTTAAAAAAAGTCTACTGAAATCCACATGAACTATGCAAAGAACCAGCACCATTATGGAAGTAAATTAATATAGAGTCATACTGAAATTTTTGACCAATCTGAAAATATGCTTTAAATATGAAGTGGGCAACTGGTGGTTTTAGTCCAATACATTTATGGATACATGTTAATACAAACATGCTCAGATTGTGGCAGCTGAAGTACAGGCAACAGCATTGCATCCTAATCCATATACTTATCAACCACAGTACTTCCAAAGATGCTGTTTTGTATGCTCAGTTAATTTGTATAAAGTAACTGCAGTTCTACCTGAAATTAATAGCAGCATTTACATCTTATTTCATAGCAAGGAACATGCAGCCACAACACCTCAATAAGACACTTATAGTTAATATCCTGTTTACTCTATATTAAGATAGCCGAACTTATCATTCATTTGGCCAGCAAGCTAATCATGGCTCAAGTAACACAGTTACTGCTTAACCAGAGCAGAAACATCATAATGGTATAACATTTATTGAACTCATTCATCAGAGTGGAAATAAAGTTTTTACAATAAACCAGTGCTGTATATGCTTCTTTGAACCTGCTTATTTTAATTACAAGAGATTCACATTATCATGTTATTGCAGTTTAACACCACCAGCTATTTGTATTTCAGTAAAATTAGTGCCAGTGACAAGAATCTTTTGCAGTTAAACTGCATAGTGTATAAGCATAACATTTACTGATTAGCAACAATGTCAAGAATCTCATTAAAATCAAACAGATCTAAAACAGCCAAGAACACTACAGACAACAGCTTCTCTGAAGCCATGTAAGACTTAAATAAGGTTAAGACTTCAATGCAGAGTTTTGGTTTCTGAAACTGGGTCTTTCCGTATGCAAAGCATTACTTTTGTACAATGTACTTCTGCGGCCTTGCCTTTGTCTGCATTCTGAAATCTGATTATGGAACAGAGGTGACAAAAGGAGACTTTGTTCACACACATCTGTCTTCCAACACCATTCTTGAAGAGGTTCAGATGCCTTGGCATCACAAACTGAAGAGAGTCACACGTGACTAAAGTAATATACTTCATAAGATGCAGCAAAGTCTCTGCTAAATTACTGCTCTTATGGAACAAAAGTGGAGAAAGGCAGAGGGAGTCTATGCTATGACTTATGCTTATCTGTGGCTACGGGGAAGATGAGGAAGCAGCTTTTCAGGATCTGTTTCCCTATATTTTTATTGAAAACATTTGTATTGCCCTTAATCTTGTCTGGATATCAGGATTCTTAGCTGTACACCATCCTGAATTTCTAACACAATAAAGAATGATGTACATTATACATTATATTACATTTCAGTACAACTAAAATCTCTTTCAAAAACTCACGTGCACAATATTTTACAACTAAAATCTCTTTCTAAAGCTCACATTCACAATATTTTAAAACACCTGACAAAATAAGCACACTTTTGCTTTTCTGTTTTGTTTTAACATTAGGCACCAGATAGGCCTTTCCAAAGAGGCTTTTCTATGACCAAGTGGCCTCGCAAGACAAATGCCTCACGGGATGAAAAACCTGCAAGACGATTGTTTTTGCCATCGCTATGGTGCCTCACAAGATGTTTTCTTTCCCCCGAGACTGATGCCTCGCAAGACAAATAAATTTCATTCGCCTTGCTAGTTTCCCTATGGGTTTTGCAATTTTTTCGCAAGACAGCGCTTCTCGTGGAACAAATTACATTTGTCTTGAGAGGCACCACTGTACTAAGCCACAAGATTTTGGCCCATGTGTATATTTTGCACTGTTTTTCTTTGTTGTTGTTACGTATCAGAAAATACATCACTTAATTATCTAGTAAGGGTTACATACTGACACTTCCCATCCCCATTCCCAAAGCAGACAAGTATCTGCTACTAATGCTATAGTCAGAGATAGTAACAGAAATTCCCATTGAGAAGATTCACGTACTACAGTGATATGACACAGAGACTGGGACTTCTTTCACTTGTGATGGAAGCAGCACTATCTCATCTGGGAACAGCTGAGAATCAGACAACTACACTGATTACTCAAGCCAAGGGCAACTACTCAGGAAGGTGGTACAGTATTTTTAAATCCAAACTTCAGTGGAATTATTGGGAATTAGTAAAAAATAAGTGAAAGATAGACGTTCTGGACAGAGTTCCACCTAGGTATTCTCAGGACCATCCTATTTTGCTATGATCTCTATCTGTTCTTCACTTACTCTTAATACATCTTGGAAATATGGAGTGCAATCATATTCACAGTTATCAAACTTGAAGTCTCTAATTTCTTCCATGATCTCATCTAACAGAAGGAATATTTTTACCAGTGCTGCTAGATTAAAGCTTTACTCCTTGAAAAACTGGGTCACTAAATTAAATATAAATTAAATCTATACTATGCCAGAGGGCTTTTCCCCCACTGGTTGTGTCCCTGATTTGAGGCATGCTGACAGCTGGATTCCATCTCCTCCCATTTTTAACTACACACGAGTGACAAAAACCAATAAATGCTTATCAATAGTTGTGCACTCAAGCTGTTTGGAGATGCTATTGTGGGATGCTGTTATGTGCATTTGTATGTAATGCCCATCATTTCTGCAGGCATGTTTTACACTTGAGTTTTAGTCAGGAATGAAGACTACTGAATCCAGAAACCTGTATGCAACATACATGTATCAAACAAACATGTATATGTAGACTATGTATAATGTATGGGAGTGCAATCATTCAACTCTGTATGAGAATATGGAATGATAATTAGCTGTGTGTAATGAGTGTATATAATTCCATATTTTGCTTGCTTCATCCAAGATCTGACATCCCCAGGAAGGAGGGAATGATTGGTGCTATCTCCATGCCACAGACCACAGTCTGAGGATGGTGTCTGGAGTTCAAAACAGAAATGATGCAGGAGATCAAATGTCCTAAATTCTAATTTTAGAGCTGCAGTTATGTGGAGAAGGGAAGTTACGCCCCTCCAAAAAAAAAAAAAAAAAAAAAGCACCTTTGGACAAGTTAACACTTCCAGTCCCAAACTCTCTATATCTTTATTATTTATGAAGATTAACAAGTTTAAAATAAAAGCAATCATAACATCACTGTTTCATTTTATTTTTAAGTAAAGTTGGTTTGGCCCCCAAACACAGTTCAGATTTTTCATGTAGCCCCCCCTATAGAAATTAATTGCCCACCCCTGATATACAATGTATGTTTTAATTGTTTTTGAGAAGCAACTCGTTGTGTTGCTCAGTGACTTTCCATTAGCTATTGCTATGTTTTAAAAATTATGTGTGTTATGTGCCATCAAGTCTGAACCAACTTAAATTACCATAACAGGACTTTCACGGTAGGAGAGATACACTATTCATAGAATCATAGAACATTTAATTCTTTAAGGAGTGATTTTTCCAGTCCCTCCCTCTGATGAGTTTCCATGGTTGGGGAGAGATTTCAGCTCAGGTCTCCTGAATCCTAGTCTGTCACTCTATCCACTACCTCAAACAAAATAAGTATTCGCAAAACAAAACAAAGCAAAGCAAAGCAAAACAAAACACAAGATAGCTTAATTAATTTTTCAAAGCGGCATTAAAAAAATCTAAAAACCCTGTCATAATTTCTCTAAAATGCCTAAACATTATTTAAAATTAATTTCTAGAAAGTATGTAAAATATTATTTACTGAAATAATAAAGCATCCTCATTCCAACTCATTACATTACTTTTTAAATTTAATTTTGTTGTCCCCTCATCACCCCTGCCCTCCAAAAACAACATTACTTGTGGTTTGTTGCTTCAAACGTATGAGTGTATGCAAATAAAATATGATTTATTTGTACCCATGGACAGATGAAATGACCAGATGTAAAGGAGGGTACTATTCTGGTTCCTTTAATAGATTTGTAGAAGGAAATATTTTGGAAAATGCAAGTTGTCACAAAGGGAAATGATTTTGTGCATAACTATTGAAGCTAAAAATATCTTAAAGAATGATCATATGATAAGAGTCAATCTAAGCAAAGTCTGGTCATGCAATAAAAAAGTTAATCTAAGCAAAGGTGAGAATGGGTGTAGGAGAGAATGTATGTATATATGTCTGCACACCAGCAGATACTTACAGATTGGTTCCAAGCTGGGATAGCCCAAGTGGTTCTGGATGGCCTCCCATAGATCATAGTCTTCAAAGTTGAGCACAAATTCTTCAAAGTCGTCATAGGCAAATGAATTAGGGACACAGAAAGCTATCCCTATTTCTGAACTGTCTCCTACTCCCATCTCCTTCATTGCCTCTTCCCTGTCCAGAACAGCCATTGCTATGACTTTAAAGAGGTAAGACGTCAAGGGGATCAGGGCCAATCACAACGTTGGCAAGCAGTAAGATGCAGCTTCTTCTTCTGTATGAAACTCTGCAGGTAGCACAAGAAGCTACTAGATCCAGCACCCAGGAATTGTTTTGATTATATTTGAGAGACAATGCCAGCATACATGGTCTAGGGAGGAATCTAGTGCAGGGACTGCACCAGCTTGCTTCAAGTCCAAGAGACTATATACATAGTCTTGCACATTGCAGCCGAGGAAGGATCTTCTGTAGAAGTCCACAGCATGTATGAAGGAAAAGCTTCTTTGGCTTGTGGCACAGGCTGCTGCGCCCCCTCACACACCTTCCATGTCTCCTTCTGCTGAAGCCTGGAAAGCAGTCTATTGACTTCTCTATATCCTGGGGCTCAGAGCTGGCATTTCCATGACGTCTCTTCTGTGCTATTACAGACAGAGCCAGAATCCCGGGTGGAAGAACAGCACAGCTTATACATGTACCTCTGCGCAAAGTCCCAGATATCCACTTTGAACAATTTTGGCAACTGCGATTGTAATCCCCTAAGTGGAACTTTGGATCTAATATGTCTACTCTTTCAAGAAGATATTATGGATATTGTCTGAGAGCACAAAGAATTCATGACAAACATTTTCAGGCAAGAAAGTCTATGGGGCAAGGAAAAGTCCTGTCTGAATGTGTCAGAAATGAGCTCAATCCATGACATGTGGTGGAACAAAGACATAAAGAGAATAAAACAAAACTGAGCCCCCAGGCAATAAAAGTCAATCGCTAAACTTCTGGCCAGAGCTGGAAAGCAAGGTCAGTGTCTGAGTGCATTCCTTTCAGCAAAGTGAGGCCTGGAGAAACCCCTTTGCAATAGATAAGAGAGACATACTCAGTTTATTGTCATACTGCAGAAATTGAGAAGGGAGAACTAATGTAGGCTAAACTAAAGATAAACAACAAGATTCTATGTGACAAGAATAAGAGTCTTCTTGAGACACTAACCTAATAAGTTTGATCTGGTATGAGTTTTCACGGAACATGTCCTACTTCCTCAGATACCATTTGACTACATTCCATAAAAGTGTAGGCCAAATAAAACATCCTAGTCTGTAAAGTGTTGCAAGATTGTGTTGTTTTTCTGCAAGAGACTATAGACCAACATTCTGGAAGATTCCATATAATCATTGGACATGCATTATTAGGTGCTTTGTGTACTCAATTTGCTTCCTTAAGAATTTTTTAAACAATCGTTAATTATATGTCACGGTTTAGAAAAAGGCAGGAACTACTGTACGTTATTATTTCTTACTCCTAATTTCTTACTGCTTTGTTATACTTCTACTTGTTTTCCTGCATTGAGCAGGGGATTGGACTTGATGGCCTTACAGGCCCCTTCCAACTGCATGATTACAGTATATGATTCTAATGGCTCACCCTTCAGTCCCACATTCTAGAAGGATCAAAACCTAAAAAGGACATGAATTTACAAACCATACTTATGACAAGAACTGGCTTGCCTTAATCACAATTGGCGTCAGCTCCCATGTAATGAAAACCATAGGTGATGCTCGGAAGGGGAAAGAGAATTAGCCCCAGGGAGGAGAAAAAGAAGGGGAGGGCATCTAAAACAAATGACTTTGAGGAAGGGAGGAATAAGAGCCTACAATGCATTGCCTGCATAATGACCAAACATAGCAAAAATGATAATTGACTCAGTAGTGTATGTTTGTGCAGGACAAAGACTGAGTGAAAGAATGAGAAAATTGTAAGAGCATAAGATTACTACAGTATATAGCTCAGTAAATTGGAGGAGCAGTTGGGAGTGTGATTTCTCACTATGCCTTGTAGGAAGATAGTCAGCTCATATGATGTTGGGCAAACTATACAGTGACCACCTCGAGAGAAAGGATGAACCACTTCTGAGTATTCAGTACCTAGAAAACTCATACACTTGATGGCACATAATTATTATTATTATCAAGCAAGTGTAGAGGGGAAATTTAACTCTTTTCACTCCTGTTGGTTCCCCAAGAAAAATCCCTCCACTGAATCTACTATTTGGCCCTGGTTTCTTCTCAATGTGAATACTGGCTTCTTGGTCAGAGAGAAACATGGTCAAAGGAGACACAGGTGGAGGTTTTACAAAGCATGTCTGGTGTAAAGAGTAGGGGACAATTAGCCGCCATCTATAGACCTGTGCACATAGAGTAAAGTCCCACTGAAATCAGAGAGAACTATATTTGAATAAGCATGTATATGATTCACCTACACATTTCTTCAAATAGAAAACTCAGAATTCTTAACCAATATAGATAAGCAGTAAGTTTAGACAAACAAGAACTAGTTAACCCATGGGAGCCATTACCAGATGATATTATAATGGCTAGTAATATAAATTACTGCGCTGGAATAGCTCCTTTAAAGGTGGTATACTCCAATTACTGAAGATAGTAGAAATAAACAAAAAGCTATAGGTACCTTTCTTACATTCTCCTTGCAACAGTTACTCCACTAACAAAAAAAATGCAATTTTCATGTTTTTCTTGTATTCTCATATTTGCTAAGTGCTGGACTGGGAAAGAATCATAGCAGGCAGATGCTGCTACTACCACCACCACCAGAGACAGAATGAGAGACCGTCCCAGTCTGATTCTTACTTTTCATATCATCAAGGTCAGCAGAAGCCAGCATCTGAGCCTCAGCTTCATCTGTAGGGATTCGCTGATATGTGGCACTCTCCACAGCAGTCATGCTGCCAATACACACCCTCTCCTTCAGATCGTAATTTGACCGCTGCCCACTTGGCACCTGATTCCAAGGTTTGCGCTTGTCCCATCCACGAGATATGTTATCTCTGTATCCAGAGAAGCTGTGGAGACAAGTAGATAATGAGATGTTTGTTAAAGATATCAAAATAGAAAGAGATAAATTATTCTTAGCAGGAGACTTAGAAGGAAACAGGGCATACTGATTGTTCAACTTCTTCTCTATCCGAAAAATCCTGCATCTGAAAAAGTGGGTTCCAGCTTGTAAATGCTGCTATGAAGTAAAACTTGCTAAAAGTACCAGAACACTCTTTTGCTAGTTGGTAGTCCCAACCAGGGTAAACGTATTGAAGCACCCTAGTTGGGGATTGCCAACAAATTCTTACCTTTGTTCTTGTTATTGCAATAGACTACAAAATAATTTGGGTACCACACTAAAAATTTAAAATTCTATAAGCAAGGGACAAATAAGGAGTTTTCAAACAGCAGTAGGAAAGTATTTCCTTGTTGAAAGGATGAATCTCATAAACTTGCCAAAAATCATCACTACTCACGTCTTGGAAAACAAGTCCATCCTGGAACCATCATCTATAATCCCAAGTATATCGGGGGTGTTGCTTATTATTAATCACTAGAGATGGGCACAAACTGCCAGTTTGGCAGTCATATTATATTACGAAAGGAAAGTGATAATAAGGTAGTGAAGGGTATAGTAAATATATACAGTATATATATAATATAAATAATATAAATATATATAAACTATAACTTCCAAAGATATTTATGGAAGCAGTAGATCAGGCAGGAAGACTTACTTCAGATCACTATAGGGAGCTCAATATGGGAGAAGAAATAAACTCTAATGTTTGAAAAAATATATAGAAGTGTAGAATATTGAAATCCATGTCAATAAGGATAAAAGAAGTTAGTTTGGAGATGGTCCTTAACTTCAGTGACACTTACTTTGAAATATGCTGGAGAGGGTGCCAGAAAACAGGTTCTTATTTTCATATGTGGTGCGAATACAAGAACATATTGAAATTTTGGCAATTGGTTTTTAAGGAAATAAATGAAGCAAACAATTCAAATGTAGTTGTATGTCCTAAAATAGCACTAATCAATATTTTAAAAATAGTTTATTGGAGAACTACAGAATTAGTGTCCAATTTGCTAACAGCAGCAAAATGGATTTATTGCTAGGAAATGGAAAACAGCTTATTATATTCTGTTAAGTGGTTGGTACAGGGAAGTCTGGAATATAGCAACCAATTGTAAACTCACATGTGATATAAAAGTTAACAGGGGGATAACTGGCAGAGATGTGTTTATAGACGTATGGGAGGAATTTATCAATTAGATAAAATTAATAAAGATATTCTGTGTTGGATATTTATTTGTTTGTTAACATGGACAAACATGTTAACTGAAAGTTTTAAGGAGCTCTTGCTGCCCAAACACATTCCCTGACTAAAGCAAAACAAAACATAAAAGCAAAACAAATGTTTCATCTGGACAAGCACTTAAATTTTAGCTCAAATTAATCCCATCTTCATGTGTGCTTGTGTGCTCCCCCCCAAAAAAATATTTCATGCTTGAAATAGGTATGTAAATATTCCTTGTTTTCTCTGTTTAAATCATCTGCATCCTATCCAAAGCCCAAATCATCAAAAAGATCAATGCATCTTACCTCCTGGGAGATGTAGATCCTTTCTCTGGTAGCAGATTAGAAAGACATGGGAGTGGGGGGAGATGACTGCATTCCTCTGCCACATGAAATGACAGATTGCATTGGCTGTCATGGGCTTCCTCCTCCTCCTCTTCCTCCCCTTCTTGTTCTTCCTCCTCCTCCTCACTCCCAATGGTGAACTGTAAAGAAGCAATACAAGTCAAACTAGCCCAAGACTTGGAAACACAGGAATTGTCATTCCTACTGTCCTGATTAAAGCTGACTTAAACAAGGAGCACTCTATGAATCTTGTGAAAACATCCAGCCATATTTTTCTACCTGCTTGACCCTACCCAAACATGCCATACTTATGTGAGAACATAGGCTCCTTTCTTCCTATGGAAACCTTCTATTCAGTTTATCTTATTCTTTTGCATGTGTCTCCCAGCCCTTGCTGTGGGGGTAAGCAGTCTCTCACCTCCACACTTCCTTCTGTCAGGTCTCCTTTTGGTTTGCCATGATGAGACTCCCCTTTGGAAGAGGCCTCAAGGTCAGATTCTGCTGAGCTTTCCTTCTCCAAAACCTCATCCCCTTCAGATTCTACTTCCTCTTCTTCTTCCTCCTCTTCCTCCTGAATGGTTGGGGTGACATTGGAGGGAGGTATAGAAGTTTTCCTTGACTTTCTCTTTTTCTTCTTCTTCCTGTCAGAATGCAGAAGCCTCTTCTGGGACTTGTGTGGGGGTGGTAGGTGAGTGGAGAGAGGGTGGTGGATGTGGTGAGATGTTTGGCGATGGACTGTGAAAGACAAACATGGGGAAAATTATATCCTGGAGAAAAGGCAGGAAGGTGTCCTGTAAGGCATGGCAAAAGAGATCTGAGGGGAAGGAGGAGAAGGGAAATATCCCAACTCCAATTTAGCAAGAAATGAAACTTTTGTGGTCTCTGCTGCTAGCATTTTCAATACCTGAAAAAGCCCCCTCCAACAATAAAAGTATCTCCTCTATCACATTATGGAAAGAAGATTCGGTTTGCTTCAAATGACTTTACATTTTCTGAGTTTAGTACCCACCCAACCTTCAAATTTCCATGTCTCATTTGACATTTGCCTGGAATTCAGTATTCTACTCCCACCGCCTGTAAGATAAAGTCTTACACATTTTTGCACAGTAAAAATCAAAGGAGACACTAACATTTAATTTGCCATGTTAAATAATGATTTGCACAGATAGTTCAGATTATTGTCCTGCTTTAGTATGGAAAGTGAGTTTAAAATGGAAACATCCATGACAAGAAACTGTTCTATGCTGCTTTTTCCAATGCTAACTGCACTAAATTCTCTCTTTCTCTCAGCTATCAAGCTGTCTCACCTATTCCAGGGTAGCAACCATGAAAACAACATATGCATGCCATTTACAGCACAAGCTCCAATGAAATACCTGCATATCAAAGACTCTTATCACCGCAATGTTAAACACCCACTGACTGACTTACCAATCAACCATGATCTCTGTATTTTGATCCCATGTATAAATATTTGCCATGTTATATCTCTTTCCCTTATGTCTCATGAAGTGGAGTTGTCCACAAAAGCTCACATTAAAAAAAAATAACAGTATTTAAGGTGTCACCATGTTCTTGTCTTTTTGTTATTTTATTTTTATTTTTTAATTATGTTTGTTTTTACCTATACTCTTTACCATTACATGACTGTAGGTGGCAGTCTAAGCTTTTCAAACAGAAGACCAGCTCAATAGGGCAGATGCATTCCACTGTCAAAATCAGAATTTGCTCTTAGCTGTAGTTCAGCCAAGGAAACTGGTGGATCTTGGAAACATTAATTTTGGGGGCTATAACTCCCATAATCACCAAACCACTGGCAGTGCTAGTTTGGAGATTCTGGGATTTGTAGCAAAAAAAGTTACTGTTCCAAACTCAATAAGATACGAGGCAAAAACAAATACTAGTGGCAGATGCCAGAAGAAGAATTCAGTTGGGTGTGATGCTGAGCAGTTGCAGGGCCTGATAGGGATGAAGGGGCTGTCCAGAGAGGAGCTTTTCAGTTGACCTTTTTCAGCAACAACAAAAATGACACACAAAGGTTTTGTGTTTGTTTTTTGGCAACTTTAACAACTAACAATTTTATTTAATGGTTATAGTTGTAGAAGTAGCTGTGTTAATCTGTGCAAGCATTATAAGTTAAAAACAGAATTAAAAAAAAGAGTTTATAAAAAAGACAAAAACATGGTGGCACCTTAAAGACTGACTGTTCTATTTTAATGTGAGCTTTCATGGACAAATCCACTTCCTCAAACATAAGAGATATAACCACAGAGATTGTGGTTGGTTGGTTGTTAAGAAAGTCAATAGGTATTTAACGGTGGAGTGATAGCCTCTATGATATACAGTATAGGTATATTCCATTGAAGCTTGTGCTGTAAAGGATACAAGAACAGTTAGCCTTCAGGGTGCTACCACATTTTTGTCTTTTTTATTTATTCTTTTATTATTATGTTATTTTTTTTACCTATGATTTTATTTCATTGTCAGCTTTGGTGGATTCAATCCACTTCTATCTCTTCTAATTGTGTTTGTAGAAGTGGACTGGAAGCTGTAGTCAAAAAAAAAATGACGAAGAAGTAATTTTTCAAAGTTCTTACAATTACCCTCACTGAGCTATGAGTGGTTTATAATTCTGATGTTGGAAACAGTTGCCCCTTAGCAAGCATCAGCCATATACAACAGAGAAACTATAAGGGAATGCCAGTGAAAGAAACCAAGAAGCACTGTGTTAGTTGGTGTTTCCATACAAATCTGCCCACCGCCAAAGCATTTCAAATAGGACCCCACACTGTCTGTCCCAACCTGGTTCATCTGTTTCATCACACAGTGCCATCCACCATTTTTCTGCAAGAACCAAATCTTCAGGTTGTTCTTAAAAACTCCCAGTGAGGGTGCCAGGTGAATCTCCAGGGGCAAGGTGTTCCAGAGGCAAGGTGCTACCGCTGAGAAGGCCCCGTTTCTAGTTCTCTCCTTCCAGGCCTCTCTCGGGGTCAAGCTCCTCAGCCGCCCACCCTGGCTAGATCGAGTGATACGAGTAGACCTAGGTGGGAGCAGGCGCTCTGTCAGGTATCGAGGTCCTAAACCATTTAGGGCTTATTATTAACAAAGGTTCTTCAGGCAGGCCTTCCCCCCTTCCATTTCTTAATTTCCTATGTCTTACCATCTTGGTCTTTGTTTATCTATGTTGTCTGATATTGTTTGTTTTAAATTTTGTTTTATATTCGGAATGAAAGCCGCCCAGAGTAGATTCATTGAATCTAGATGGGCGGGGTAAAAGCCGGAAAAAATAAATAAATAAATAAATAAATAATTTTAAATAACAGTGCATGCAAAATATATCTGAAATGGTATATGTCTATATGACTTCAGAGAGTTAAGAAGACATACTTCATTTTAACAACCTTTAGATTTCTTTTTAAAAGGTGTACATGGTAGCAAAAAGTAAAGTTGGGGGAAGGAGAGAGAAAAAGGCAAAATCCTATTTACATTTAAAGACTAACAGATAACAAATGTCTTATAATAGCCCCACAAAGCCCCTGGGAATGTAAGAAAGTTATGAGGGGAGAAACTGGCATCTAACATAACAAAATGACCCCATAGATTTGAATGAGTCTATGTTGAAGCCAGGCCTTCCAAATACAAGTCCAATAGTGCAGAGTATGTCTGTTGGAACATACTCTCCACTATTTTAAACAGAGATGGGAAAAGTTACTTCTTCAGCCTACTACCTCTAGAGTCCCAAAGCCAACATGGCCAGTGCTCAAACTGATGGAGTAATTCTACATGTTGTAGCCAAAATACTGTAATTAATATTCACATATTTGATTTTGGTACTGGTGGTCCTCTTAGGCTATGATGATTTACATACACAGTGTACTACAAGCATGAAGTCTGACATTTCTACAGGGACATTCTCCACATATCATCATGGCAAAACACAACAACAACAACAATCAGGGTAATTTTCATCAATGTAATAAATGAACAGACATTGACATTATTTTAACAAAGCTTATACAGTGTATCACTCATATACTTGAAAACAATTTGGAAAGAAAAGGTTACAAAAAGTTACTTGTAACTCCTTTCTCTTATAACTTCTATAAGTGAGATACAATTATCTCTCTTAACAATTTATTAACAAGGGTGTTGATATGACATCAGCCGGGTGAGGTAAGTTTATTTTGTACCACAGACAAGTGGTTTATAACCTTCAGATTTAAAAAAAATCCTCAAAGCAGAAATTGGAAAGCATATAATTTTTTTAAATTATTTTTAATTGTTGTGCCATTTATCTGAGTCTTGGCTCAATAACGGTGATAAATAACATTTCGAAAATAAGCTTGTAGCCTCTTCTTATAATGCTGACTGATGTCACCCATAAAAAATTAGAATAGAATGTACAAAAAAATCCAGCTGCCAAAATTCTGGTCGTTATGCCAACTGGCATAACACAATTAGCATAAGTCTTGTTGGTGACATTCCATAATTTAAAAAGTTGGCGTAGACATTTTGTGTTGTGTGCCAAGGACTAAATCCTTAACTTGTGGCAATTTGCCAATGAGATTTAGGCCAATTGTGTGTGAAGGGAAAGACCAGAGACAAGAGGTCTTTCTGGTGGAGCCGTCTCTCCTTAAGACATCTAAAGGGACTCAAACAACCCCACCTCCTACCCCACCCAGAAAGAAAGACCAAGGGGTAGACACCCGAGAGCTGGAGTAGAAGAACATGCGGGAGAAAGGGATATCGCGAGCAGTGGATACCCAAGACTTAGAGAAAGAGCTGAAAGGGTTAAATGTGGCTACTCCATATAAGGTTGAAATGGCGGGAAAAGAGGAGAAAGGGCGGGCTCTGGATGAAGGGGGGGTAGGGGGAATAAATAGAGCCTGGGATAATATCCGGGGGGGTTGGGAAACTGTTTGGATGCAGGACCCATGGACAGGGAAATGGGAACAGGTTCGGGTGCCCAAGGCTGAAGCAGAGCGCCGTAGAAGAAGGGGCTTGCCCCAGAGACCTTCCTATTGGGGTGAGTCTGAGACCTGGGAATGGAGGAGGAAGATAAGGGAGGAGAAAGAAGCCATCGCCAGAGAAAACGAGGCACGCCGGGCATGGCATCTAGAAGAACTGCAGAAGATGGGGTGTTTTCTGGACCTTGGGGTGACTCACAAGGAGAGGGATCCCCGTTGTGGGGATGGATGGGGGATGAAGAGACCCTCCCGCTTTTGAACCAGACCGAACCCGAGTTTGAGAATGTTGATCCAGAACGGGTGATTGCGGGACCTTGGAACATTGATACGATTAACCGTTTAGAAGAGAATTTATGGTTACCCTTGCGAGAGCCATTGCTCGAACAAGAGCCTCAAACAAGAGAACATGTTAAAGTTGGAACCCCATTGGTTGAGTTAATAAAATGACACAAGTCCTTTTTGTAAAACTGAGTCTGGTGAATTATTTAAGAAAAGGGAAGCCCACATAAATGAATCTTCACATTGTGTTATGCGAGCATAAAAACTCAATAGGATTTTGCCTAGCATGTATTAAAATGCTGCTGATATCCATTCCAATGACAAGGAAGGTGCCATAAAATTCACAATCTTCTAATTTTTCTAAATTCAATCCCCAAATAAGTTGATGTATCTCAGTAAGTAATTCTGATTCACATGAGATACCAGTCTTATTTTGTTTTTGTTTTTTAACTTATAATCATATAACGTCATTCACCCTTTTCAGTAAGATGCCAGAGTAAGCAATTGAGATGGAGTGAGATGATAAATTCTTATTTCTGGGTGCCGTCGCCATTGCTAAGACTGGCTGCTATCATGGCATATTCTACAGCTATCTTTTGCCATATGATTAGTTGTTCTCTCTTACGACTCCACTCTGATGTTATTCATTCAATAAATCCTTTTCCTAACTCTTCCATATTTACTCTCAATTAGAGATGGGCATGAACCACTGAACCAGAGGTTTGTGCTGGCTCATCCTTTTGTCAAACAGGTGTATAGCACTTCAGAGCCCCAGCCCCTCGGCCAAGCACCCACTCAGAGGCAAAAAGGCAGTGAGCCCAGAAGGACCCTCTTTCTAATCAGACTGGGATGAGGCATACTCTGCTTCTAACTTCCCTTTACCCACCACAAATAGAGAAAAAGAGATGGACATCTTTACTAGTGAGTCTTTTAATTCCACTATCAGTAAATTTCCATTCTCTCATGCTTTTTGAATTAAAAAAAAAGTAATATGCCAAAAAGTTCACATACTTGTGTTTCACTGTCGATGTTTTACTTTGCCTTGCCATCAGAGAATATCTCAAGGCAGGGACACGTTACAGATACGGGCAGTTCAAGACTGGAGCAAAGAGCCTGCACACTTTTGGATGAAGCACCTCATCCATGCAATAGTCCATGAACTGCCCTACTAATGGATAACTTACTGAATTTATATTGGAAAAACCAAAAGTCATTTTCACTATCTTGAGCTTAAAAATATGGAGCATAAAATTTACCATAACTGCATGCTATTATTTCAATGCAAGAAAACATACATTCTTACATATACCATGTGAATGCTACCAGTAGTGGCAATGGTATAATTAACCTACCATATATTTTTAGTTGTGACCTAATTTTGTCATTAGGGTTATGATTTTATTGTATATTTTATTACTTTACAACATATTTGTTTAATATTTTACACATTTTTATGATTTTTATTATACATTTGTTGTTCATCACTCTGTAATCTATTCAGTAAGGGTGATATACAAATGTTTTAAACACATAAATGTTCAGTGTAAACACTTCTTTTCCATGACTCCCGAGTGCCTATAAAACTATTGCTTTTCACAGACCAATGTGCTGATGTACATTCATTTAATGTTACACACTGTTCAAAATACTAATTCCCTAGAAGGAGAACCAAGTTTAAGAATCAATACTGAAAGGGAAAGAAATTTGTTATCTTAAAACTGACCAGATGCTTACTCTTCTTGTTCACCATCAGACCACTGCCTTGTTCAATGTTTACTGCATTTGCATTGCAAACATTTGTATTTGTATAGCAACTCTGCAAGTCTATGATTCTTTGCTGTGGATTTCCTGCATTGGCAGCATATTGAATTAGATGTCCCTTGGGACCTTGTCCATCTCTGAAGTTCTTTGTTTCCAGCCTGAGCATGACTTGTCTATTTTGAACTCAGTTTTGTGAGGTGCTAAATCTATATGGTAGCGCTATCTTTTAAAAGGGCATGCATCTAAATACATTTCAAGAAGAATTTACAAACCAGTTTTACACAGGAAGCACGCTGAAAAACAGTGCCCCAGTTGAAATGTAGTACTCTCTTCTGCCTCAGGGATTCATGTCAAATATCTGAAAATTGCATTTTGAAACTGTACTCTCCTGAAGGTCAAATTTCAGGGCTAAAATTTTAGGTAATACTAAAATTTTAGTATTGACAAACTTACATACCTGCTTCACCAAAACCTCTAAACTCTCAGGATGAAACTAAACCATTGGGTTTGTAAATACTGTACATAATTTTATATTCCGTTTCTAATTTCCATTTGTTTCAGTTCTGACTGGTAGAGGGTATAGTCCAATATACATTCTTTCAGACTGAATGGTGTAGAGCAGAGGTCCCCAATCTGCGGCCTGGTGCCGGTCCATGGCCTGAGCCAAACTGGGCCACGGAGACTGACTTCCCACTCCCCCAGCACACGCTCCCCCCTGCACAGCCCCTCTGCACATGTGCACACACACCTGCATGCTGTGCTGCCATTTGCCCATGCGCACGAGTGTGTGCACTCTAAGCACCGCACTGCCGTTTATGCATGCGCATGAATGCGCACACACCCACTTGAGCGCCTCCCCTGCTCCTTTGCACATGTGCACAAGCACGCCCATGCAAGAGAGCGCATGCTCCTTCTCGCATGGGTGTGAGCGTCAGGGGGTGCCCTGCCTTCCCCAGCCAGTCTGCAGGGTTAAAAAGGTTGGGGATCCCAGTGTAGAGAACAGAGGTGGAAAGCCAGAAAATTATGTATACAAACTTTGGTAACCTGCTCTACCCAAAACATAATACCCTACTGAAAATAAAACCTTTCATATAGTTAATGATGTCTTCTATCTGAAGGTTGGGTCATTCTGTGCTCCAAGTGTATGCTAGGTCCAGTTTGCAAGGGATACATACATTCAAAGTCGCTCTCACTGTAGCTGCGGCCTTGTTTCTCCTGGTCTCTTAGCACAGACTTGCCAATCAGGTCACCAAACCGTTCAACAGCCAAGGTCTTGTCCAAATCCTCCTCATCCTCTGGGCCAGAGAACACTGTCTCAACATCCTCACCATCCTACACAGCAGCCAACAGATAATAAGCAGAGCAGATCATTACACAGTGCCTTTATGCAGACCCTTGATACTGAGACACACACAAAGATCATCTCCTTCCTCTGCTCCTTGCCAATAACACCTTCACTCACATTTTATAGCAATGTATCCTCAAAAAAGGTGACACAGGTAAACCCAAGTTCCTCAGAAACCTGGAAATAACAGAGAACTCAAATGACATGATAGGGTTGCCCACCCAGATATCTATTTCAACCTCTGGTCCCACATTTGCTTATACCAACCTTGTTTGCTTTCATCCCCAGACTGTGATTATAGTGAAGTTACAGGACAAACCAGATGTCCGGTTTGGGAGGGTCAAGAGGTTGATGAATAGATTGTATGCAAACTTCTATGTTAAAAAAGGGAAGAGCTTGTGCCCAAAGTTACCCATTCAAGACCTTCCCTCATCATCCTCGGTCTCAAATCTATCTAAGATTAGAGGCTCACAATAACATTTAAACTGTCAAGTTCCTTACCCTCCCCTCCCCCATTCCAGAAAGCAGAATCCTGTGGTTTCTATACATTGAGAAGAGAGATAAGGTGAAAAGCATAGGGATAAATGTACTTCTAGAGACTGGTAGAACAAGAAATACAGGCCAGAGCCACTGGCTGCATTGACTACCTACATATTACATCTGTAGGATACACCTACTGGCTGGCTGGACACCTATTTACAGTTCCCACTCTGTCTCCCATCCTGCCTTATTAGAGGCTGAGTTTCCACCACCAGCTCTGACTCCTGACATGCTCTGTGCCAGGCCTTTTCCTTTTAGATGTCAGGCACTCGGCCTTGAATTTTGAGCTCCGTGATCTAGCTCCTTTCTTTCAGGATTCAGTTCTGCCTTTTCCAGTCACCGATTTTCAGTCATGTAGCTATGAGCTTTGTCAGATCCGGTCCTTTTTAAGTCTTCAGCTGCAGTCACTGGTTTAAAAAAAAAATTCCTGTCAATTTAGCCTGAAATGCTGGTGCCAAGCTGTTGCGGACTCCTCAGTTACCATGGCAACACACTAGGCCCAGCAGTGACAAGTCTTGTCTGAAACAAAACGTGAAGTAAAAGGGGCCTCAGCTGAACAAACCTCCAACACCCACCTCCAGGCAGGGGATGTGCTCCTGCCAGGGCAGGTGGGTATCTATGTAACTGCCATCACTTCTGAAAATAAGGGCCTCTATGCCGGGTCTTAATTAGAGACAAGGTTCCTCTTCGGAATTTTTTTTCTATGACAATCCCTGTAATATATAAAGAGTACCTGAAAGGACGTGAAAAGCCAGCTGCAAGCATCAGTGAGAAGCACAGACTATCCCACACATCTGATATTATAGAAAAGGGCTTCTAAGGGCAGACAGTGTGTTTTACAGGCATGCTTGGACCTCTGCACTTATACAAGGGGATGCTGATAAGTATTGAGACTTTCCCAGAAAAAATTGAGCTAGGAAGCTGTAACTGACACACTATTCTACAAATTCTCCCAGAAAGTCAATACACTTGTGACATCTGTCCTGCAGCTTCTTAAGTCCCTGCAGGTCAAGAGAATAGGGTGGATGGGACATCACTTGAAAGCCTAAGGAGGTCAGTTTTGCCATTGTTTCATCTGCAGTGTGTGATAAGGCGTTGTCATACAACAGAATGACACCTTTGGAGAGCTTTCCTCGACGTTTTTCCTTGATGTTTTGCCTCAACTTCGTCAATAAAGCACAGTAATATTTTGCATTGATGGTTGAACCCTGTTGGAGGTAGTCCACCATCAGAACTCCCTTCTTATCCCCAAAAACTGTTGCCATTGCTTCTGCACCGACCTTTGCACTCGGAACATCTTTGGCCTGGGGGAACCACTGTGCCTCCATTCCTTAGACTGTTCCTTTGTCTCAGGATCATAACAGTAGATCCATGTCTCATTACCAGTCACCAGTTTGCCCAGGAAATCTGACTCATTTCTTGCAAAATGTTCCAAAACAGCCACCGATGACTCCAGACGTTTCCTCTTTTGTTCAGTTGTCAAAAGTTTGGGGATCCACTTTGCTGCCAGCTTTCTCATTTTCAAGCCATTGTGGATAATGGCACCAACTCTCTCACGTGATATTTTCAGATATATAACAATACTTTAGGCTGATATTTGGCAGTCCTCCATGTTCATGTCATGGATGGCTTTCACATTTGCAGGCACAGAGACAAAAAACAGGCCTTCCACTGGGTTTCTCACTTTCAACACCGAAATGGCCAGTTTAAAAATTGACAACCCAACATTTAACTGTTGCATATGAAGGGACACTGTCATCCATAGTTTGTGACATTTCATCATGGATCTGTTTTGCACCTTTCCCTTGGAGAAACAGGAACTTGATTATGGTCTTATGGTCTTCCACATTGAACTTTTCTGGAGGTGCCACCATGTTCACTTCGGACAGGAAAATGCAATTTAAGTTACAATCATAGGTAGTTGATTTTTGCACTGTTGAATATACACAAATTGGCCAATACACTCTGCAATTTATAGTTTCCTAGCTCAATTTGTTCTGGATATGGCTCAATACTTATCAGCACCCCCTCGTAATTTTAGAATTTAAGAATAGCTGTGTAAAGTCATTTTTGGTAGCTCTTGAGAAACCCTATCGGGAAAAGATTCAACATGGTTTGAGGTGCAGGAATGCTAAGACAGCATTACATTCCCTTCTTTTAGAAAATAAACAATGTTGCTATATTAATACAACAAAATACAGCCATTCAAGATTTATTCCATATATAACAAAACTCATATTATATTGCAGGCCCTTGGCAAAGAGTGTCTCAAAGAATCCCCTTATAGAGTAGATCAGTGGCTCCTAAACTTGGGTCACCAGATGTTCTTGGATTGCAATTTCCAGAAGCTTTCACCATCAGCTATGCTGGCCAAGATTTCTGGGAGTTGTAGTACAAGAACATCAGGTGACCTAAGGTTGAGAACCTCTGGTCTGAGGATGTGGGAAGCAGTTTTGCCATGTTTGAGGCTCCCAGTACCCTGCTTCCCCCACTACATTTTCTGTATGTTAAATTGTCCAGTACAGGGTATTTATTTAGTTAGTTTTTTTAATTCAAAAAGAATTTTTTTAGTGTGGGTGGAGTGCACAAGTTATCCTTCTAGATTCACGAGCAGCCAGTACAGGGTATTTATTTAGTTAGTTTTTTTAATTCAATAATAATAATAATAATGGATGCTTAGACTGAAGAAGCTACTTGGATGAGTAGCAAAAGTTTCAACCTAACAAGAAAGAAGTTATGTTGCCATGAGTCAACTTCTAGATAACCTAACCTGGATGACTGAGAATCTTCACAGAAATAATAATGGATTCAGTGCAATTCTGATTTATAACAACCTTTTCAGGGTTGCCAAGTAGAGAATATTCAGAAGTGGTTTACCGTTCCCATCTTCTGGCAGTGATGTGATAGACAAGGAGAGAGATCATCTAAGAGCTTTGTTCATGAACACGCCCCACCCTCTCAACAGTGTTTTCGAAGAGTGGGGGGGGGGTTCAACTGGAGCTCTTTTTTTCCATGCTAATTTAACTTAACTCTTCTCAGGATCCAAAATGAGGTAGTTTTTAAAAAGAAATCATTTCTAGATATAAAAGAAAAAATGCTTTAAGGCAGGGATCCGCAAACCGTGGTCCGCAGCCCAGTGCTGGTCTGTGAGCTTCCTGGAACTGGGCTGCGGTGATGGATCTCCCCCACCCCCCGCATGCATGCATGGTGGGCGTGTTGCACTCGGATGTGGGTGTGTCACATGCCCCTCTGCGAGTGTGATACACCCCTCCACGAGTGCGACACACCCACTCGTGAGCACGGGGTGCTCCCCATCCCCACACATGGAGCCATCACCCCCCAACCGGTCCACGGTTCGAAAAAGGTTGGGGACCGCTGCTTTAAGCAACCAGGGACGAATAGAGCACAAAGCCTCAATAAAAAGTGATTTTCACAGTGGTGGACTCACAGCAAATGTAGGAGTCTTATAGTATCTTATTTAAAGAACTATTTCATCTTTAAACTCTACAAAATTCATCTTTAAAGTGCCATAAATTTTTTGTTGAGAATCTGTAATTATGTTCCCTCTTGATACTAAGGGACAGAGTCCTTTTCAATCACCTGCTGCACAGTAGTGAAGATGCCTCCCAAAGGAGTCATGTTTCCAGCTGCCATCTTAGGTTATATTCTATGGACCGTCATGCAATATTTGGGCCAATATCAACCCTTCTCTTTCATTAGCAGGAACCCAGTAAGTCTGAGGCGTGGCATAACCTGTGGAGAAAGAACAGAAGAACTTACAATTGAGATTGGCGAGAGTGTGTGGCTAATAACTGTGACAAATAAGACCTAGTGGAAATTAAGAACCACTGTTCAGAATCATGTGACACCCTTATGCAAGACACAGAGTTCTAAATTAATTATGAGAGCTCAGAAAAGTGACCTGGGGATTGCTGCAGACAGCTCAAAAACCAGCTTGGCTCAGGTTGCATACAGCTAAGTGTCAGGATGTAAAAGGAATGGTGTGTAGCACAATAATAATGATGGTCTAATAATGTCCTTCTCTGGAGAGTCATGTGCCATCTCAGTCAGCGATCTCAGAAAAAAGGGGGAGGCTCACTGGAGAAGGTGAAATAAGGTGGAAAATCCACTCAGTGACTGACTAAATTGAGGTCGGTGAGAGCAAAGCAAAGTGAGATGACAGAACAGCTGTTTGCACATAACAAACAGTAGAGGAAAGGAAAATAATTAAAGGGTTAAAAGGAAGCCATTTATAGCTAATCAAGAAAGCATAGCTGAGTAATCCCTCCATTTGCTATTTACGTAATCCCTACGTAGCTTTTGGGTCTCACTGAGCAGTAACTTGTCTCTTAATAGCCCTCTTGGGATTTTCTGACTTCTCTTCAAAATAGCTGGACAAAGTAGACTGTAGATAGCACTGCTTCCTTCTTACTAGATTTAAATAGGAGTTATGGGAGTGTTTGGTTTCCCACCTCGGTTTTTTTTTTAAACTCAGCTTCAGCTTCAGGTGCTGGTCAATTTTTAATATGCATCCGTGCCAATAGATTAGAGGGTGTAAATTAACAGTATCACCAGATGGACTGTTTTTCTCTGGGACAATCCATAAATGTGTGTGAAGTGTTCTAAAATTGTCCCATAGCAATGAGATGGGGGTAACAAAAAGGCAATTTAAATTCATTCTGCAGATCATGGATTAGTGTGTAAAGAAACAAATGATATTCAACAAACACAACTAATTAAATACATATACTTTTTTCAAACTACTAACACAAATCAGAAGGTGATTTGGAGTTCTTGGACAAGCCTTGAAAACATCACTTCAGAACAAATTTATTATGTCTAGAAGCTCACTTTAGGGCATAACTATACATAGAAATTCTCCTACTTTTGTATTAGTTTTGGCATGACTGAAATCGAATTAAAAATCTCCATCTACACGATGTACAATTAAGCATGCAGATTTTGGCCAGGAAGCTGGGGGGGTGTTAAACACCCGCTTTGGGGTTGTTTATTTTGAATCTATTTTGGTTGCACTTTGTTTTATTAATATGGCATGTGTGATTGCTTGTGTCAGAGTAAATAGTGTCTGTGGGGTCTGCAGAGTTTGCCAAGTATAATGGGTTTGGGTTTCCAGTCCAAACTCTTCCTTTTCCCCCTGTATCTATTTTAGCACTGCACCAATCTAGCACGATGCCAGTTCAAAACTTATAGCATTTTAAAAATTTAAATATTAAAAACTGATTTGTCAACTATGACAATTCTTAAAGAACGAAGTACAGAGGAAATGCTTGTTAGAGTAGTTGAGGGATGTGTGTTATCGGCTGCTAATGCTTGCTTTGCTGCACAAAAGCTGTTGAGTCTGGCATCAACGTCTCAAGGCAAGCAAGTTCTGCCTCAAGAACAGGGTGAAGAATTAAGTTCCTGATACAGAGCAAAAACCAGGAAAACAAGGACCCAGAATGCTGAAAAAGCACATAGCTTACCATCAGACTAAAAGTTCTTCCCAATGGATACACACACTGAGACAAAACTCACATGATCTTTAAATCAATTTCTAAAAATCCAAACCAGCTCCCCATTTAATTCAACTGTGTAGTTGTACCCTAACTACAGTGGTGCCTCGCTTAACGATTACCTTGTTAAATAATGAAACCGCTTGACGATGAAGTTTGATTGCAAAATGATGTTCTAATAGGGAAAAATCACTTGACGATGATCGGTTACCTGCTTCGGGAACCGATTTTTCACTAGACAACGATTTTAAAACAACTGATCGATTCGGGAACCGTGGCCACCCGCTGTGCAAAATGGCTCCCTGCTGTGATTTAGGATGGATTCCTCGCTTTGCAGGCACAAAAAATGGCTGCCCTATGGAGGATCTTCGCTGGACGCTGAGGTATTTAGCCCATTGAAATGCATTGAACCGTTTTTCAATGCATTTCAATGGGCTTTTTTGTTTCGCTTGACGAGGATTTTGCTTAACAGCGATTTCAATGGAACAAATTATCCTCGTCAGGTGAGGCACCACTGTATCGTAGCAAATCCATGGCAAATCTATTTCCAAAATGGCTAACTGCAAGACAAATGCCACTAACTCCATTTTAAATTGCCCCTGAATTAACAGATGTAGCAGTGTCTTTAGCTTTGACGGAACTCTTTCTCATAAATGGTACTCAGAGATGTTTCAAAATGCTAATGACTGGCTGCTCAGGACAGGGCTTGTTCATAGCTGAGTGCTGTATTTTTCCTAGTGATATGGCCTTGATTGTTTTAAATTGGTGTGTTTTTTTCAAAATTTCATTCAGCAGTATCCTATTGAGCTTCTACTGAACAAAAAATCCTGCCAGTAGACCAACATGGGATCTTGCTGATTGCACAATCATAAGCTGTGTACAAGCAAAATCAGATTTTCGGCAAGGATATCACAGCTTCATGGAGAGCACTGCTGATACAATGGTAATACTTCCACAAGTGCTCTCTCATTTGGATATGATGGTGTGATCTTGCATGACTATAATGATGGGACTTTCCACTCCACAGAAGATCAGCCGGACACCAATCATTCCATATTTATAGTTGGTCTTGTTCTGCTTTAATTGTATTCTTGTATTCTTCTTTATATTATTATGAGTTTCTTAAACCCCAGGGAAAAGGTGTGATAGAAATGCAATAAATAGATAAGTAAATAAACTAAGAGGCAGCTGCAGAGCAAGTAGTTAAGCTTAATGGCACTCATTAATATCTTTGTCATGGTGCCCCGATTCTAGAATGCCCTCTCCAAAAAAGGTACAAGTGCCACCAACATACACATTTCTGGTGAGAGATCAAGACTTTTCTATTAAATCTATAATTTTCAATGGCTATACTTTTTCCATCTGCTTATAATTTTTAAAGTATTTTGCTGTCTTAATCCCTAACTGCTATGAGGGATATTGGCTTACTAAATGTACAGTATACTGTATATTATTTAAGTCATGTTATATTTATTTGACACCATTTATTTAACACCATTTATTTGACACCATTTAGAAATATGCTAAGCAATAAATATATATATATTAAAAAGAGCAAGGATATGTCATCAGTCTTCTATCCACATAGGTTATTTTGGGTAGTAACTCTCAAATCATATTTCTTAACTTTCCCTTAGATAAATATCTAGCAACCAGTATAATTTTGTATAACAACAGCATATAACTTTTTTCTGACTCTGATGTTAAATCTGCTTCTAAATCTATTTTAGTAATACTTTACCAAATATTCTTAATATAATGTTATTAATTTGTTTAGTATTTGAATAATCTACTGTTTTTAGCTTTAATATTATGTTTTAATGATGTAAGCCATCTTGGATCTTTTCTTTGGAGAAGGGTAGGATAAAAATCTTTAAATAAATAAATAATATTGGCATAGCCCATCCCATCTGTTGAGAAAGGAAGTCTTGAGATTGGATTAATGCACTCAGGCAGGTTTTGTGAAATTCTCTTGTGCCCTTGAGAAACTGAACTTAACACCTACAATCTTGACAGGTTTAGGGAAGCATGTACATTTTACTGGCAATGAGAAATCTATTACCTGTTAATCTGAGAATATCCATTGTACATGAATGCATGACTCTATACAGGTCTATCAAGCCCATGGTTGACATTTCTAGCTCACAGTAATTCTGCAGAATCTCAAGCAAAGGTCTTTATACGTCCTCCTATTTGAGATCCCAAAGGTATTAGGACTGAATCTAGGACTTCCAGCATATGAACAACTGTATCTCTACTTCTAATGCCAAACTTGTTTTGTCCAGTGCCGATACCATTGCAGCAGGGTTTCCCTCGCAAACAAGGCAGTGGCTTCAGTACACCTAGCTTACTAGCTATTAACAGGCATATTTGTTTGTAATGGGGGAATAAATATACAGACATACTTACAAATAACACTTCCTAAAAAAACCCAGCTAAACAAGGCCTTATGTTCAAGGACCATCTTGCCAGTCCCCACTTGTATGATCTGTCATTGAGTTATGACTCCTCCTATGTATTGTTGACACTTAACAGATCATGAACTTGTTTTCAGTACCACATTTCAAAATGCCTTTGAATATGTGCAAAGCATTCTTCCCTTTCTACTGAAAAAAATTCTTTCTGACAAACTGTCATGGATTTACCTCTTCTTTTCACACATTTGTATTGATGTATTTAATTACAGTGACAACCATATGAGACCAGATACATGTGGAGAATGTCTGCTGGTCAAAGAATGCAAGAAGCTATGTTGGCTATGAGGGGAAAAAAGAGAGATAGCAGAATTTCTATACTTTCATGAGATCAATCAAAAGGGCAATTATGTACAAACTTTGAAGTGTTACCTGTTAAGAAGCATCTCAATATCACTTGATTATTTGTTTGTTTCTTTGTACATATATACTATTTTACCCTGCTTTCTCTTTAAAAAGATTCAAGGATGCTTACATCAGTAAAATGCAATATTTAAAGCTAAAAACAGTAACTATATGAATACTAAAAAGGATCAAACAAATACCACACTAAAAATGGTAAACAAAAGCAACACCAAAAACACATTAAAAGCAGTAAGACACGACAATCCATTTAAAAAAACTACTCAGGCATCCTGTCACTAAGGGAAAGCTCTTTTCTCTTCTGGAAGGACACCAGTGAGGGCAACCTAGCCTCCTGAGGGAGGGTGTTCCAAAGTGTAGGAGCAGTGACAGAGAAGGTCCTCTTCTGTATCTCCACCAAACATACCTGTGAATGTGTAGGGAATGAGGGAAAAGTCTCTCCTGGTGATCTTAACAGCCAAGCAGGCTTATACAGTAAATGGAGATGCAGTCCTTGAGATAGCATGGTAGTGGGGAGATTTAAAACAGCCAGGAAACTCCCTGCTTTGATTTGTACAGAACAGGCACAAAGTGAAAAAGAATGCAAAAACCAGGCTTGATGAAGCATTAGCTGGATGTATAATGGAAATATGGGTGTTTAGGTAGCATTAGATGATAGCCAGGCAGATCTGGGTTTGAATTTCCACTTAGTCACAAAGCCTACCATACGACTTTGGGCCTGTCACTACCTTTCAGCCTCAAAACGTTGTAGTGGGGTAAAGTAGAGGGCACCTTGTGTGTTATCCTAAATTTACTGGAAGAAGTGAAGGATAAAAATGTAATAAATAGCCATCAACTGCTGAAAACACTGCCAGGCAAACAAAATGCCTCACAATACTAGACTACGTATCCATCTCTACACTCATTGGCATGGAGTATCAATTGGATACAGAACAGAAATGTGGATGTCTAGCTAGTAGGCAGCAAGGTTGTTTAGCTAGTTCTGCAGGGATTTCGGAAAACTTTTGAAAACTTTCTCATCCCTACATTACCATTTAATAGGAGATACTAAGAATTGAATCTGGGACTTTCTGCATGTAAAATATCTGCTTTGCTGTCATGGCTCTGGCCCATCTATTTGGACACTGAAGTATCTGCTTCATAAGGATCCTTGCCTAACCCAATCATGGCAGTTCAAGATTTCAGTAATTTTATGGCAGTGACTGCAGCAGGCATTTGATCTGCCCATTTCCCTTTCTTTTCTTCAGGTCATATGTGGAAATGAGAGTGTTCAAGAACATAATAGGAAGAGAGGAAACTGGGCAAAGTAGAAGAAAGTTGTAATAGCTGTACATGAATCTGAGGAAGGGTCATATAGTACAGAGTTTCTGGGATTATGGTCTAGAATGGAAGAGGCTGGAAAGGTGTAAAAGCTGAGGTAGGATCAGTAGAGAGAAGAGTGGCAGAGTAAGGACTACTGTGAGAAGCAATAGCAACAGAGATTCCATCTGTGAGTCAGATTGAGTCTTTTGGATTTTGCTTCACTTATGGCTAGGAACTGGAGACAGAGATGCCAACTTTTTAGTAGCAGGGCTTCTGTATCATGACAAGCAGAAATTGAGCAAGTTAACTTTCTTCCATTCTTCCATCTGCATGCTGGAAAAAGCTTCAACAGAAATTGAGCAAGTTAACTTTCTTCCATCTGCATGCTGGACAAAGCTTCACCACCTGAATTTTTGTTTCTCATGTAGCTGTTCAAAAATCAGCAACCTTTGTTGAGAGTGATTGACAAGGAGATCAATCTATTACAACCAGGTGTTGTGGTCATTTTCTTTAAAGGCTGCTGTTAATGAGCCAGATGGGCCACTAGCCTAACAAATAAATCAGTGCTGAATTCTTTCCAGCTTTTCTGATGGTGCGCCTTACTCTCCTGCCAATCAGAATCATTTTACTAACCACTCAAGTGGCTCTATTTGCCTATCTGTCCCCTCTTTACAACCAGACCAGGGTGCTTTGGTGGCCTGTATTTTACTGTCTTTACAAACATACGCACCCTGTTAAATGTAATGAAGATACATCTCGTAACTGAAGCTTATTTGAACTATTGCAATAAACAAGGAAATGCAAGAGGAGGAAGAGGACGACAGATTTGATTAGAGACATACGTCATTCCCAAATGATAGGATGTTGGCGCCAAAGGAGACCAGCAAAGAGGGACTGAATTCTGTACCTTGTACAGCAAATTTGAAGACAAGAGTTCAAGGTATCTCATAGTGTATACCCAATGTTCAAACTCTTGCCTGAGGAGTGGGGCTTGGGGCTCAAGGTTACAGTGGGGAACCAAGGAAATATAACACAAGCACAATGTGAAGTAATATCAAACATAGTACAGAACTGGAGGCATGATCTGCACAAAAAACAGTGAGAACTTCTGTGTTAGGCTCACTGTGGCATGTCTGTATTTATGGGTATAGTTGTTCACTGCTGTCAAATCAAAACTGACTTATAGCAGCCCTATTCGAGTTTTCAAGCTATTTAAGGAATGGTTGTACTAGTTCCATCCCCCCTCCTCCCCATGACTTTCAATGGCTAAGCAGGATTCAGACCAGGTCTCCTGAGTCCTAGCTCCTCACTCTATCCACTAAACCACACTGGGTACGCATGGATATAGCACTACTGGTTAATTATTGTTAGCAATAATTGGACCTCACACGACCAGTCCGCCAGCTCTCTTCAGACAGAATCTTAGGTCACTGATCTCAGATGTTGCGACCTCTGGTGAGGAAAGCATACTCTATATGTGATTGGGGGCACTTCCCCCTGTATTATTCAAATATTCTACATCTGAGCCTTGCCACTAAAAACAGCCTCCAGGGCTGAATTTCAGTCATAAAATCCTCAAGGAAACCAAGAAGATGTTCATTCTTTGCACTTGAGTTTGCTGATACTTGTCACATGCTCTGGAGGCTGCACGTTCTGGAAGGACACTACTGGCATTTCCTGTGGGCACAATAGTAGTTGCATAGATTACAATGGGGAGGGGGGGTCACACACACACACACACACACACACACACACACACACACACACACACACACACACACACACACACACACAGAGTCTGTTCAGACTGGGTTGTTTTTTTCCTGCTGGATTCACCGAAAGGCACATAATGCATGCACATATCCTGCCGTGTCCTCTGTTGCCCTGACAAATGCTCGGGGTGCCTTTTCTTGCAGGAAAGATTCCACACACTGCAGTCCAAACTCTTGTGCCTACCACACACACAAGAGATGAAGGAGAGCTCGTCTGAACAGGCTCTCCTATGAGATTCATGCCCGGGGAACCGGGATCTCTGCTGCTCTGCCCCTGGCCATGCTAGGGACATGACGAAGATGCTGGACCCGGAGGAGATGGATGGAGGCGGGGTGGGTGGTGGGTGGGGAAGGCAGCCGGGCTCGCTACACTGTACCTCGCAGCTGCTGAGAAGGAGAGCTCCTTGCCTCCAGCCAGGGGTCCACAGGATGCTGGCGGCGGCGGCTGGCCTCCTCTTGCCCTCTCCCCTGCCGCTGGCGATCGCTCAACATGTGTCCATTGCCCGGCTAGCGGCTCAGGTGGGGCGGCGGTGTGCCAGGCAGCACCTCTACCTCCTCCTTAGCCGCCGCCGCCGCCTCCTCCTCTTCAGTGCAGCAGCTTCCTGCTCCTCCTGCAGGCAGCCATCCGCCACGACTGCCTCCCCGTAGAGACCAGCCGTACATTGGCTGCTCCGGTTCCCTTATTTAAAATGCTGTGTGGCGAACGGCGGGGCTATGAGTCACTCGCTGCTTTTTGCCGGAGCCAGCGGCACCAGCGCGAGGGGCTAATCTCTG